AGGTAAAAAAGAACAACTTGTCTCTGCTCTAAAACTTTTATCTTGCTTCATACTTATTTTTATATTCTAAAATCCCAAACTCTTAAGTTTTCCACTCTGTGATATTACTGACTAATAACCAACTTCACATCTGTAATCCTAGTCCTATTAATAAATTTTAAAAACCTGTTCTGTGACCTCAGGTCAAATGCAGTGTTCTCCTGTGGATTTGTGCCTTTAAGAACAGAAAGTTTAAAGTTCTCAGCATCCAGGATTCCAACACATATTCATCTAAGGAACAAGAATTCACCCAGGAATAGGTCCACTGAAGGTCCAGTGAGGTAACACACATGCTAGCAATGTCTTGAGAGGAGTAAAGGGACAGGAAGACTTCTTTAGTCTATTGAAGTGACTGCTGAAAAGACATCCAGTTACTTATTTTTCTGAAAGCATTCCAGCAGAACAAGTGCTAAAGAGCAGATAAGTATTTGGCTAAAGAAAAATGTATAGATAGATAATGAATAGATTTAGCTGAGAATTTGAAGGGAGAATCTGGAGGACTCCTTCAATGGAGTAGCAAGAGAAAAGTCCTGCTTGGGACCTAAAAGCTTTGGTTGCCTTGGGACAAAAGGGATTCATGGAATTCTGTGGCTCGTAAGATGCAGAATGGGTACTCATTCCTAAATGCACAGGGAGTGGTGCTTGGTAGCATATGTTCTTAAAATTTCTTATGTTGAAGGAGCTCCTTTTGAGGAGTTTCAACAGATTACAGGAAGTAGACAGTTTTGCTTTCCTAGGTACCTCTCTTTGCTCCTTATCATGTCTTCCTTTCTTCATATCATTCTGCCAGTTTCTGTGAGAGATGAAAGACACTTCCGGAATTACTCTAGGTCCTGTAGAAAGAAAGAGCAGAGTGGAGTTTTTACACTGAGGTGTAATTATACTGTGATTCTATTTTAATTGTCAGTAAATCACATACCTTCTCCTTAGGTCAAGTCTCTTATGCCAGTAATGGTAAGTGTTAGGAAATCTTTCTGTCCTGACCCATCACCTTTTCCATCTTATTTTCTGTGCCTGTCCTGTTGAGGAGAGGGAGTAAGAGAGCAGCTGAGTAGGCATCTGGAAGATGGCCACGGTGAACCTGCTTCTTCTCAGCTTTGTGTTTTTAGATAAATCCATGGTCTCAACAGCTATAATTTGCAGCTTTTTGTCCAAGATAATAAGTGTTTTCTTAATGCTATTTGAAGATTTAAAAATTGGCTATATTAGTCCACTACCTATTTTTCACCTTGTGGTGTATTTTTGCGCACTTTTTTCCCTGCTGATTAAGCTCTTTGTAGCTTTTTAACTGAGGATCGAAAAGATTTTTTGCTGTGCTAGCATTTCTTGATCATAATTAGTCTATACAAAGAAGCAAATGATATAGACTTGGAGTTCTAAGAAATAATCTTAAAGAAAAAGGGGGGGGGGGGAGCAAGCAGAATGCTTGATTTCAGAACCATTATCCTGCCATTAAAAAAACAACAAATTTCAGTAAGTTTTTTTATTTCGTTTTGACTCCTTTTAGAAGAAGCTGTTTTGCTTGCTTTGGCTTAATCAAAAGATTGATAAAAGATGGTGCAAAGCCTTTCAATTAGATTGCTTTGGTTAAAACTCAGTCCCAGGTGGAAATGACTAATGCTGTTCCTATCTTGTGGTTGCTTAGTGATAATTGTGCAATAAATTAAGCTTCAGTCCAGCTCTTGTAGCTGCCTGGTGTGTTGCCATAGTTGGTAAAGTGTGCTTGTTAACAAATTTCAGCAACAGCCAGGGGCACAGTAAACTTAGAAGCAGCATGGGTCACCTGAGGTGTGGTTGGAAGTCTCTGGCCAGAGCAGGATGAGGGAGCCAGCAGTTTTTCCTGCAGTTTTGTTCTCTGGAAAAAGTACTTTGTTGGTCAAGGTTGCCTGTTTATCTAAATGCACTGGCTGTGCTATGGGGTGGAATTGTTTGAGACACTTGGGAAATGCTTCAAATTATTCAGTTCAACTTAGTAATAAACAGAATGAAGTAATAAGGATAAATACTCCCAGAAAGGTTTCTGTAGCTTTTACTCTTTTTTTATTGTAATAATTTCTGTTAATCAAAATAGTTGTAAACACTATAGTACATTTTAGCTTTGATTAATTTTACAATTATATTACAGCCATAGAAATTTATTTGCTGTTACATGCTCAGTGTTGTGTTGATTTGGTATTTTTCTTTATGATTTCCTAGTATTCATGTGATGGGAAATATAATTGCAGCACATGTCACTGATACGGTTTTATTTGGGTTCTATGTCATCCAGTAAGACAGTCTTATTTATTTATTAGATGCATAAATTAGGTAGCAGAAACAGCTAATGCTGAGGTGTCTTTTTTGTGTATTTTTTTTGCATCATTAGTTTTCATACAATCTTTGCTTTTCTTTCTGATCTTGAAGGTTGTATATGAGTGGGCATATCAGGCTATTTTTCAAGTAATTATGGGGTTGTTAGCCTGTCCTGAAAATTTCCTAAGCAGAGGTCTAATTTTGAGTTCCTAGTTTTGAACGGTAATCCAAATTCAAAAGTTTTTGGAGATGTTTCTTTTATTATTTCCACAATAATATCCTCTGGCATGCATTGGGTAACATGCCCATTTGCTAAATAGAGATTTCTCATTGCATGCCTTACTTTAAGTCCATTGATGCTCAGGTTTGATGCAGCTCTCAAGTGACCTTCCTTAAGACATCACACAGTCTGGCTCTACAGCTTAAACCCCATAAATTAGTCTTTAAACTACTTCAGAGAGCCTGTTAAGTGCCATTCATTATGGTGGTTGCTTCTATGGTCTGCAGGTACAATTACTCCTCATCTGATCTAACACTGCTGCTGCTGTTCTAAGCAGCAGCAGCACCTAATGCTGGCCCCGTAGCTGTGCACAGCCCTGTATTGCAGCTGCCAAGGTGATGTAAGTGATGCATTCCTCATAGCACTTCTTTATGTTTTATTGGTTAATTAAAATGATAATGGAGAAGTATCCAGCTGAACTTCCTTAAAATTTGCAACTCCATATCCATCTCTGTCTCTCTCTGTCTCTCTCTCTCCACCTCCCCCTCCCAACCCATGTGTCATGTATGTTCCAATTTTAAATGTGCTCTATGGTCCAAACTGCTATTAGGACAAGCATCTTAGAGTTTTGCTCTTCTATTTTTATTCAGTATCATTTGTTGGTAACCGTAGGTGTCACTTTGGGAAGAAATTGCACTCATTTAGTGAGCTGGATATAGTAGGACATCACTGTACTGTACTGCAGTGTTATGGAATGCTTAAAATTGTTTACCTTTAATTAACTAATAGTTTTCTACAAATAAAGAAGCTGCGCTCTTGAAGTGCATACTAACTTATCATCTGAGTATTACAAATGAATGTATTTCCCTCTGCCCATTCATCTTTGGTGCAAAGATGGTATAATGGCATGGTCAAAGCAAGTGTCTGTCTTGGTGGTTTGGTGTTTCTTGCTGATGGTAGGTGATACCAGCAGAAGAGCTGTACTATTTGGTGCCATGCACTGTCTTTGTAATTCCCCTCCTGGGAAGCAAGAGCTTGGCACTAAGGGGTCCCTTGCAGAGGCTGCTTTGAGGAGGCCGGACTGGGGAGCCTGGGCTGTGCACAGCAGCATATCACTGCTCAAAAAAACCCTGTAGGAAACACTTTCCTGTGCCAAAGTGCTGCCTCAAAGGCTTCAGTGAGGGAGTGTCGTGATGGCATATGAATTTGAAGGGCCTTCTTACTGTCATTTGGGAGTAAACAGCAAAACTTACCACTTAGTTACCACAGCAATGTCAGTGTACAAGGTGGAGCCAGATGTTGGTGGTGTTTCCTTTTATGGCTTTTAAAGTTAAGTATTTTTTTTCCTGTTTAGAGCTTACTGAATATCTATATGCTTTTGTGAATTCAAGGAAGCTGAAGACGTCTAAGTTCTTTTTTCACCTTAAATATTTTGAGAGTGAAGATGTTTCTTAGCATCTAATTAGTATAAATTATGAAATTGTGAGGTCTGTATGAATATGATTATTGATTTATTTTCCTACATCTTAAATCCACGTGACTCTTAGAATTAAGAGCTGACTGCGTAGATCCACATGAATTTGCCATGCTTTCCTACTAGGTTGAGCATTATTAATGAGATCTACCTTGCTGTGATAGCACCACACTGATTAAATTAATTAGAAAAAATGAGAGCTACTTTTAGCAAGTCAGTCCTGCAACCTGTGCTTATTGTTAATTCCTCTAAATGTAGAAATTAATTTATAGTTTGATCTCCTTACATTAAAAATGGACATACTATATGTTTATCTGGGATCATTCTTTCATATTTTAAATGTGAAATAAATCTATTTTTTTTAAACAGTATTATTGGTAACCAGAAAATTTTAGTTTTGTGGAAGAACATTGTTGAGGAGACTACCATAGCAAATATAAATAAAAATAGAAGAAAACTTGCAGTACTGAAGTACTTACAATTTTGCAGTGTTTGGTATGGATCAGGAAAGGCTAGTTAACAGAAACAGCAAAGTAGTACAATATATCAACAGAAGTTTTAGATAATGAAAAGCTAAAAATTCATGTATAAGCTTCTGCTAAATTTTGCAGAGCAAGTGAAAACACAGTAATGGCTGGGGCTGGGTGTGGTTGGATCTGGTGTAAGTTATAGTTTATTTTCTTTAAACAGGTTTTAAGCTTTGATTTTAGTTTTTTTTTCCTCCTTGTAAAAAGGAGAGGAAGAGGTCTTTTAAGTTGTAGAGTTTGATTGTATACAAATATACCTCTTAAGATACTGGTGTGTAAAACAGTTCATTAACAGTCCATATGAAATATTGCATATTGGATGTTAGTAGCAATGGATCTAGTCTAGGCAATACGTAAATGGCACTGCTGATATCTTAAGTTACACTGGCTTTTGTTGCTTTATCTAGTAAAATATTCTGAATTGTTTTCTTGGTTTTCTTTTGTGTAGCGCTATTTTCTAGTTGGAAGTAATCCTGCAGAAACCAAATACCGTGTTTTGAAAATAGATCGCACTGAACCAAAAGATTTGGTTATAATTGATGATAAGGTAAGTGCCTCTGTATTTAGTTGCTGGGCTTTTTTCCCACTTGTTTCAAATAATACTGGTTACTTGCTGGTAGCACTGAAATGGGAAACAAACAATGTAGAGCAGGCCTTTGATTTATTGTCTATTTCACAGATAAAGCAAATTCTGCTATTCTTTGGCATGAAATAACATTTAGCTACCAAAACAGTAACCTCTGTGACTTTTTCTTTTAAAGCATGTTTATACACAACAAGAGGTGAGGGAACTTCTCGGTCGTTTAGACCTGGGAAACAGAACAAAGATGGGGCAGAAGGGCTCTTCTGGATTATCTCGAGCTGTCTCTGCTTTTGGTATAGTTGGTAAGTCTTTTGATTGATTTTAAAAAATCTTTTGTTTTCCTGGGAGGTGAGGCTTATTGTGTCATGTTGTGTATCTTTTTCTTCCCCAATTTTATTTATTTGTAAAACTAAAGAGGATTTAGAAATTGTGCTCAAAGTTAAGTAAGTTTATGTGTATTTTTTGAAAATAAGTCGTCAGTACAGGAGTGAAAGTTGTGCTGTAACCTTTTGTCATTTTGTCTTTCCTTTGTCACTAAGGGACAGATCTAGGAAATAGCCAAACTCTAGAAACTTGGCTGAAGATCGTACAAAACTCAGCTGATCTTAGAATATAAATCATGTGGAACCTGGCTCCTGAATTCCAGAGCTCACAGAATGCTTTTTAAAAAGAAAATGAAAGTCAACATTCTTTATCACACACTATTCAGAAAGATAACTTTTCAGTTTGGTTAACTTTTTGCAATGACATATTTAAAGATTTCTTTTTCATGTTTGAACAAGTATAACTGACTGGTATGTCAGCTGAATTTTAAAATGCTGCTCAGCTGTTCATAATCCTCAAGCGTTCTTCAAGGATTTAATAACTTCTAACGTCATCTGAAAGTCACTACTTTCCTGCCTATTATCTGATACTGAGGTCAGTATATTGATGGCTGCTGTCTCTAAAGTAAATGTTAATATGTGCTGTGACAGCTCTCAAGAATACTTTGTGGTTTATTTGAGTCAATATACACCTGGCCATCTAAAGGCAAAACTGCAGAGAAAGTAGAGAATGCAATTACTTTAAAGGATGCTCCTGAATTTAGCACAACAATCAAAACGTAATAATATTCTATTCTAATCCAAAGTGGCAAATTAAGCAGACTTTCTTCTTCATTCTTTTTGTCTGTGAAGCATTTTGGAACATCCAGCTTTCCAGAAATTCCTCAGATGGTGTTTATGTTTCTTACTGATTTAAGAGTATTCATAATGGTAAACCTAAAGGAGCTTCTAACAGCCTTGCAGCATTGGGGTTTTTTTTTGCACAAGCCATTAGTGCTCACTGTCTAAATATGTGATAAATATTTGGTTGGAAAGTGGTTGCAATCAGTTAAAATTTTGCATCCCAATTGTATGACTGTTTATATGACTGTTCATAACAAGAGAGTTGCTATTCTGTAGCTGCACAAATGTATTGGTTAACAGATAGGGTATATGTATTTCTGGAGGACTCTTTAGCAGTAACTGACTCTCTATCAGATGATATACTTCCAAATTACATGATTCAGACCATATCCATATAAACATGTAATCTGAAGGAATGCAACTGGTTGTTTATTTCTGCCTCCTGGCTCAGGTGAGAAGAACAGGGCTATTTTTCCTAAAATTGTAAAGAACAGCTTTGTTCTGTCCTCTAGTTATTTCATTAACCAGATGCAGTACATTCAGTGCGCTCAGAATGGAGGTGCTGATAGGCTGAGTTCTGGTTTACTGCGTGGTGTTTAAAAGTGGAAATTGCTTTTAAAGGGAGGGAACCAGGCCAAGGAGAAAGGCTCAGTTCTTTATCAGACTTTGGTATAATGTTTGCTGAAATTCAAAGGACAGAGGCTTTTCACATAAGTGATTTTAGTACCTGGAGGATACAGGAAGAACTGTGACTACTATTTAACAACTGAAATTCAATAGTCCGCTTCAAATGGAAGGTTTGTTTCTTATTGTCAGCAGGGCCTCCTGTCTTTGTGCAGGTGACAGCATTTTTCCAAGGGGGGCTAATAAGGTGGAAGAAAAGATTGCAGTTTATTCGATCACGTTGCAGCCTCCAGCAGTGATAGGGAGGAAAATGTGTGTTCTCCTTATCCTTCTTCTTTACTTTGTACTGCAAAGCTTAAAGAACTGAGTATAAATACAAGTAAAACTATGAATTGTGAGGGTCCATTTGCATCATGGCATCATCATCACCTCCCTCCCCAAATTAATTTATTTGTTGATAGTGCAATAGTGGGCAAGTTTCAAGGTCTCAGCAACCTACCAGAGCAGCTACCTCCAGTAGCTAATTAATGTAATTTATTACCTATTAAAACATATTACTGCTGTACTATACTATATTAGTAGCACTTTTAACTTCAGGGGTGGTTACGTATTTCTATTTTCCATTTGAATTTCTACATTTGTGTTGTATTTAAAGTTTTGTTGCACTTTTCCCCAGTCATATATAGTAGAAATATCCAAAGGAAGCACTCCATGAAGAAGCATGGCTAAGCCCTACAGGGAATGAGGATGAAGGCTTCAGAAGCTATCTTTTGATAGGCAATAAAACCAGACACTGCCTGTTCTATCTTCTTAGCCTTCTGTGTTTCAGCAGGGTCAAGTGTTGATATCTGAGAGAGGAAATAGGAAAAAAAGGAGTACCCTTGATGCTCTGAATGCCTGATTTGGGAGAGATTCTGCTGTAGTCAAGAATTCATTCCCTGCTGTTAAGGAGAGAGAGAAGACAAAGGTGTTGTTTTACCCACAACTCCTTTTGCTGTTCTGTGTCCCTCCCCAGCAGAGAGTACATGAACCTGAAAAGAAAATTGGAGTCTGGGATTCTTCCTTACCTTGGAAATTTAACCTTTAGGATCTGAAGTAGTATGCTTCACTCTGAACAATGAGAGTCATATTAAAAGCAAATGCAAGTATGTTAAGTAGACAGAAACATAGTCCAAATTTTCAGTGTCCTAACTCTGCTACCTAGTATTAAAAATACCCACAGTGGGAGGGAAAATAAGTAAAAAAAATATCTTTTATTGACTAATGGGAGTGAATTTTAAGACTCTGTGTATATATATATATATATAAATGCACATAACATTCAGAACAAATAAAAATTCTTTGAAGTCTAGAGACAATCCTGATACTGTTTTGCTAATTATGTTTTATCAAATAAACACAAATATGCAACTAAAAGCATTGTAATTCTGTTTTAACAGGTTTTGTCAGGTTTTTAGAAGGCTATTACATTGTGTTAATAACAAAAAGAAGAAAAATGGCAGATATTGGAGGTCATGCAATATATAAAATAGAAGATACAAATATGATCTACATTCCAAATGACTCTGTAAGAGTCAGTCATCCTGATGAGGCCAGGTAAATAATGCTGGTAATTAGTGTATACTTCTTAAATATTTTCTAAACAATGTTGAACTGCAACTGGAAACTTCAGTCATGGGTTTTTTATTAATTAGTATGTCATTCAAGCCATTTTATCTTGTTGGTTGGGAAATAGACTACAAGTTCTGTGGCATCTGGAGCCTGGAGAGTAAATACAACTGTCCTACTCTTTTAGAGTCTATTGTCCACATCTCCATGTCACAGCTAAGTTTAGCAAATCTGCACCAAGAAGTGTCAAATATAAGCGTTGTTCCTGCAAGGGCAAAGTAATGCTAATATTAGTTTGTACGATTTGGTGCACTGTTCTTTACTTAGTAGCTCTTGCATGATGTTAATCTCACCTGAAGAGGTCTTTTGTGCCCTTCAAAGAGTGCTGACTAGATTATTAAATTATTCTGTACTGTCAGAATCTTGTAAATGTTGCAGTTGTAAAGGGTGGTGAAAATATTCACTGATAAGTTTAACTGCTTCTTTCTTTTCAGGGATTTTTTTATGAAGAGACAAGTTTGAGTCTTTATGTTTTTATCAGGGTAGGGTAACTTTGCTTCTATGAAATAGGAGGTAATCAATATCAATATCAATAAATGGCTTTTCAGTCTGTATTAAGTGTGAATAGTCAAAAAGTGATAATATATGATAAATTGATGTCAGGTAAAGAACTAAGCCAGTAGTAAATATTAAAAAACTTTAAGGTGGGATTAATCATAGTCTCTCCTCTTAGTGTGCAGGAGACCATGTTATATAACCTACACATTTATGGTGTCAGACACTGTATTATTCATAGACAATATGATGGTTTCTTCTGGGAATTTGCAAGGCTACGACAGATTTTACTAGATATTTCTTTTCTTGTTAATTTATTTGAGAGTAAAGGAAAAAAATATATTTCTTTTGTAGTATTTTTGAGAGGTTTCTTTTTTAAGATCTGAAAATGTTGATGTACATAAGTGGGAAATAGAACCACATCTTTACCACTGTGAAAAGAAACAGTATGTTTATTAGTAGACAGTGGTTTTGTTTGTTTTGTTTTTTTTTAAAGGATTTTATTTATTTAATCCATATGCTGACATTCTAGTTTAATTACCTGTCAAAACAATTACAGTAAGATAGGAAGGGAACATAGGGCAACAATCAATATTTATGTGTAATTTCTTTTCTGTAATCCTCTGAATGACATCCTATAGTCTGTCTTGTTAAAATAATGATTTTTCCTACAACTTGTATTACTTTGCTAGGTATCTGAGAATCTTTCAAAATGTGGACCTTTCTAGCAACTTCTATTTTAGGTAGGTATTTGTTACTATTCCATTAAAAAAATGTACACTTACACTTGCTAGAAGATTATAGGTTTTGGTTTTGATACCCAAGACTTTTAGGTTGATAGTCTGGAGAAATAAGACACATAATCATGCTGCTTGTCTATTTTCATCTGTGTATTTTGAACCTGCTTTCTCCTTTAATCAATTGGCTAAGAATTTGGTCTCCATTAGGTTAAAAAATATAGAACTATTAATGGCATGGAAAAAAGTAGACACTGAAAGTACTGTTTCCACTGACTGTTCAGCCTTGCCAGATTATGCAGAAGTTCTCTCTTTGGAAAAGTAAAATGTTTAAGGGGGCTGCTTGTCTTGTTATGTAATATTTATTGATCTCATTTTCCATAAATAAAGCTTTGCCTTGACTCGGGAGCAAAGGTAGAGATATAGGTTCTCATTTGAGATACACCCTATGTGGGGTATGTCTTTCATAGGCCTTTCTAGGAATTGCAGTTCTCTTGTTTATTGTTTCATGGATGCCATACCAAAGGCAAGTTTTCTGTGCTTCAGGTACTATTAAGTGAGATTTTTGGGACAGCACAAAAATGGGAGAAATGTGATGGTAAACTTGGCAATAGTAGAAGACTTGAAAACTTAAAAAAAAAAAAAAAATCCCTCTTGCAATTACCAAAAGGTGTGTCAGTCTAGAAGATGAAAATGAAATTTCTTGGAAAATGAAGGCAATCACATCTTGATCAGTGATGATAAAGCCTACCCAAGTTTTATGTGTATTTCATGCTTTGGCATGTGAAATATTTTTTGCAGTGCAAAACATGAGTTTTTCTTCCATGCATTGTCTCCAGCCCTAAATCTGTACAACTACCTCCGCCACTACCTCCTTTGCTTGGAGATGACAAATTTGTGCTGTTTCTGTGGTTTTACATAGACAGGAAAGGAGAAGATTCTTATGTTACTCTAACAAACACGTTTATCATAAAATGAATCATAGAATGGTTTGGGCTGGAAGGGACCTTACAGATCATCCAGTTCCAGCCCTACTGCACTCACAGTACAGAATTTCCTCCTAAATCTCTCCAGTTTTAGTTTAAAACCATTCCTCCTTGTCTAATCATCATCTGCCCATGTAAAAAGTTGCTCTCCCTCCATTTTTTATAAGCCCTCTCAAAGTACTGGAAGGCCATAGGGAGGTCTTCCCAAAGACTTATTTTCTCCAAGCTGAAACTGTAGAATGAAAATAAACTATGTATTTAAAATTTCTTGTACAGAAAAAAATGAGTAAGAGAATGACTTATACAAAAATGTGGTTTTGGCACAAATCCTGTGTGGCATAAATGAAAACTTTCCTACTGGCAGATAATTTACTGTTTATGTTTTATTTTTCATTAAAAGAATTTTTTCATAATATATTTTTGTGCTCTGTGTTTAAAGTGCATATTTTGCCTGATTTTCAGTTTTGAAAGGAGAAACATAGGATGATACTAGTATTTTTTCTTATTGTTTAGAATATTTTTAATCTATCAGCTTCATTTAAATCGTTCTTGGCTGAAAGCATAACACATTTTTCTGCATGATTTTTATATAAATCCTGAAGAAAATTAGAACTCAATTATAAGAAAACATTTGGTCTAAGGGGAGAGCGGGGGAAACAGCCTGAATATGTCTCTTACTAGAATACTGCTTAAAAGTTCTGTTATATGCAAACAGAGCATGTTACAGATTTTTTTTTTCCCTTAACAGATGGGTCAGGACATTACTATGGAAATATGTGGATGCATGGGTTACACTTTGTTATCATTAGAGATAAATCTAAATGTCTAATGTTTAAATAATTCTTTAGATCTTTAATGGATATGTAGAACTTAGATGAGGACCAGTAATCACTGATGCTGTCTTAGACTAAAATGGAAATATATGAGTATTTGTGATTTTAAGTGTAGTGTACCTTTGGTTTCTCCTTTGGAAGAAGCCTAGTAAATTAAAAAATTTAGCCATTAGTATAGAGTGTTAGTAAGAGAGACATGAGGTGGAAAATTTGTAACTATTATGGAACTAATTAAAAAAACCCTTTTCTTTATTCAGCAGTCAGTGCCTAAATATGCATCTGCAATCATAAATTTGGGGATGGATACCATTCTTGTGGACCAGTTTTTTGGCTGTTTTGGGTTCAGGTAGCAGTTAGAAAGTAGCAGCACTTAAATCTCAGAAAAATGAGGTTATCAATATATATAGATATTTCTGATGGAATAGCTTTTTTAAAACTTCTGGAATGCTTCTTGGGACATGGTGAATTAAGTTTCTTGATATGCTTTGTTTAAAAGATATGTGTCATTTTCAATTAAAAGAAGATTATAAACACTTTTTCGGTCTTTGTAAACAGTTTCTGTTTGTAAATCTTCTTTTGGAAATAATTTGTATCATTTGCCATTGTATAACCAGAGTCTGTTTCTTGTTCAGAAGTCTTTTCTATAAAATGGTACCATGTTCAACATAATTATAGATGGAAAGTAACAGCTTTCAGAAAATTCCTATGCATCTGCAATTATTAATAAATGTTACCTGTCTATCAGTTACAGCTATGATCTATCTCACTCCCTTCAGTATAATCTTACTGTCCTGAGAATGCCACTTGAGATATTAAAAACTGAAACAGCCCAGACCCGACAAGAAAGTTTTGATATATTTGAAGATGAAGGACTTTCAACACAGGGGGGAAATGGTAAGAAAACACATCTAATTTAACTGATGATGTTGGTCAGCAGTGTCCTAACACTTGTGAGTTAATAAAAGATTTTGTGAAGTGCCAAATACATTTCAATGTGAACAATGCAATTTCTAAAGGTGTGTAGTCATTGTTTTAAGTTACATTGCAATTGAAGAAGATGACTGAGCATGCTGACATTTTTCAGCAATTGATTACTCAACTGACTTCTGAGTCTCCCAACAGGAATGAGTTACAAAGAGAGTGGGAAGCAATAACTGATTAAGTACCAATTTTTTTGTTTTATATTGGAGAATACTGACAACAGAGGAACTGTATGAAGTTAGTATCATCTTACTGTAGCAACCCCTGTCAAGAAATGTAAGAAAAATTACTCATTTCGGTTGGAAACTTCAGGCTTCAGTTTGGATCTAGTGTGTTCATAAGAACATAAAGATGAGCAGTCAGAGAGAAAAACTATTTTGTCTTCCTTTTTCTTTGTACACACACACACAAAGTTTCTCCTAAAATTCTTAATATTGGATTTTATTCTGTTGAATGAAACCCCCATGCCCTCAAGAAAAAGATAGTAGCAACATGGTCATATATATCAAGATACGAGCAACTGGTTATCAAATACTACAATATCAGAAAGGACCATAAGGAATGTAGAGAACAATAATTCCTCTTCTGCAAAGACTCTAATCTGGAGGGTCCTTCAGGAATCCTTACAAAGGCACTGTCTCTTCTATGTCATTGTAAAAACAATCAGAAATAAAGATGAAGATGCCCTCACCTTGATCCCATCAGCACTGTGTGCTACTCACCTGTCTAACCATAGAATATGTGTAACAAATAGCCACCTGTCATTTAAGAATTAATTCTCACTGAAGTAATGCTGCTAGTAGTAAGAAAGAGGAAAAATGCTGGCTAAGTGCTTATGACCAGCTTCTGCTGACAGTCTAAACTCCTTCGTGAAAATATTTTGGTTACATCAGTTTTCTCTGGGCTTACAGTGAGTTGGGTCTAGGTAACAATAGGTTGTTCAACAGTTGCATTTTCACCTGCAGTCTGTAAGAAGAACTCCTCTTTCCTCCAGTGGAACATTTGACTGATGTAGTTGTCTGCTATAATTGGCATTCATACTGTTACAATAAAATTTGTCCTGTCAGAAACTTCATTTGAAAAAAGTGTGAAAAAATATAGGCAATATAATTCTTGTCCTCTTTCTTCTAAGTTTCAGATTCATTCAATTCCCTCTACTACCATTTGGTGACAGTTTTCATCTTGGTCCTGATATTTGAAACAGAACAAGACTCTGATTCCAGATATATCAGAAACAAAATTTTAACTTGTAGGTCTACAACAGCTACTTTTCTTGGTGTTAGTGCAAATTAGGAAAATTCTGTTGAATTGTGTGAAAAAGGATGTTCATGATATTCCAGAACCTTATAGGTAATTAGAGGTGACCCAGAATTGAGAAACTTATAAATTTCTCCTGTAAGAACATTTTTGCCTTAACTGGAATTCACAACTTTATTTCCCTTGTTATGAAATCCCTTGATGGTACTCTGTAGCCATCTATTTTCAATACTGAAGGATATCAGTAACTTCTGCATGAAGGCACTCAATCACAACAGTGACTGGCAACTTTAGAAAAACTGCAAATCCTCATAAACGCTGGACTTCAGCATGTGCCTGGAATTATCTGTGTTCGGTAAACCTCAAGGATGCAAATAAACACTACACTGAGTTGCAGCCAAGGGAAAATCAAAACAAAGATCCAATGTCTTGGATTTTAAAGCAGCTGAGCTTGTTTCTTAATTGGTAATGCATTTGCTGTAACAACATCCTAGGTGTATTCGGGATTTGCAGTAAGCCTTACGAAAAGTACGTGTGGAATGCCAAGCTTCTGGAAGCAGTAAGAAGTGCTGTTCATCGTGACTGGCTGCTGTATATTATTAATGGATTCTGTGGGCAATCAAGTATCCTTCTGCTGTCATAAGGAATTTTGGTTTATCAATTTTGAAAAGACCCAGTTTGAAAATGGAATTATTTTTTTGTCATATAAATACCATTCAATTTTATACTTACTGTTTAGCTTGTATTTTCATTAATTTCTAAATAAGAATTATACTTATTGTAAGAGGACCCTAATACAGCTAGACTGCATTTTCAATGAGGTTCTGTTTATAAGTGTGAGGTTTAGTAGTAAAGAACGTGAGAGGATTTTTGGGCTCAGCTGTATTTTTTCACAGATGTTTAAGGAAAGGCAGAAAAGCTAAGCAGAACTGAATTTCTGACTGATCTGGTTTCAGCTGTGTTTAAACCATGACGTTGCCATAGAAATGCTTTCCTACTAATCTTCTCTAAAACATTTTTTAGTTACTGAGATTTGCAGAAATTCTTGTATTTACTGTCTTTCTGTTGAAGATGATGATGGAACTTCAGTCTTGCTGTATGAAGAGCACTAGGACATGTGAAAGTCTCTTTTCTTGACTATATACTATATTAAATGGCTCAAAGGATCTAGGTACATTGTACCGGGAAGAGCAAAAGTCCAAATGGATACCACAGTCCAAAGAAATGTCGTATTACATGTTAAGAATTTAGTGTATTACAAAGACACTCAATTTTATTCACCAACACTATCATGTTAGCTTAAATTTTCTGGGAAAGTGAATACAATTATGAAGTTAACATTAGTAGTGTCTGCAAAATTTAATTTTGCTTTTCTGTGATTGTGAGACTGTTGGTCATTGGCTTAGTCCCCAGACAAAAAGTTAGATCTGTTTTTATATGCCACTATTTCATTTGTGGTCTTACTTAATCGAAGCTGTATCTGACCACCAACATTATGCCTGAAGTTGCCTAGTTTGTGAGGATATAACTTCTTAGCTCTTTCTCGTGCCTCCCTAACACTGAGGAAGCAGTGGTAGTCACACTAGGCTCTGATTCTGTTTGGTTTTAGTAAAATGGAAAAAGGCTCTAAAAAAAGCCACCACTACATCCATAGTGTGTTTCCCTCTGGCTTTCAGTTATTGTTGTGTAAGTGGTTGCAAATTTGTATATTTTTCTAAACAAATAATTAGAGGGTGACTAATATACTTCACCTGAAAATTAAGCTCCCACGTTTTAATCCCAGTATTCACAAAAACATCATTTGCAGTGCTAAGTGTATCTTGTATCTATTTCACCTCTATTGTAATTTCATAAAATAGAAATGCTGCTCTCTTCTATAGGTTCTGAAAAGTGGGTGATGTATTGCAATGTAGATTAACTTTTCAAAGTTCTTAAAACAGATTGTTGGAAAGGGCAATGTTCTCTTCCAGCTGCAAAATAAATCTGGAAGTGATACTCACCACTGTTAGGGTGAGATTTCAGTAAATCAGATCTATCAGTTTCATAGACTTTTGTTTGAACTTATTTTTTTGGGCTTAAAGTAAGTGAACAGAAAATTGCATGTGACATGTAAACCTTAACTTCTCTTTCAAGAACTGTTAATATATGGTCGCCCTATATATGTCACTCTGATAGCCAGAAGATCAAGCAAATTTGCTGGAACACGTTTTCTGAAACGAGGATCAAATGATGAGGTAAATGAAATATGATTTTAGGGGCTGTTTCCTCCTGCACCTCCCCAGCATGAAAGCTTGAACTTGACTGGCTGAGGAGCTGAAATGGTTTTAGAGGGTTGATAAGGGTTTGGCTATAAATTATGCTTTTAGATGATGTTATTGCAGGTATCATTACATTTTTTGTTGGCATAATAAAGTTGTTCCTAAAATTATAAGTTTAATTGTTCTAAATTGGCACTCATTTTGTTTTTGTTTTTGTTTTTTTTTTTACATTTAGGGATAATGTTATTTCCCAAACTGAGGTTAAAAAATTTTAAAATGGTAATATTCATTGGGGAAAAATGGGACTTTAACCTTGAATGTTGTTCTCACTACTGTGGTTCAGTGCCTCACAGTTTAATTGTGCTCTGTTTGTTATGATCAATTCTCTGTACTGCATGCAGATTTGAATGTCATGTCTACATCATATGTGTATTTCTGTTTGGTTTAGGGAGATGTTGCTAATGAAGTGGAAACTGAACAAATACTTTATGATGCTTCAGTTATGTCATTTTCTGCGGGGAGTTACTCTTCCTATGTTCAGGTTCGAGGGTCTGTCCCTCTGTACTGGTCTCAAGATATTTCAACTATGATGCCTAAGCCACCCATAACACGTGTGTACAAATTATTTTTTGTGATAGATTATGATTAGTGCTGTGTCTTAAAGGAATATCTGAAAGAATAAGTGAAACTGAATTTGCAAAAATGAACAAATTGTCTGTTCACTTGTGCTTTGTGAAGCCATAATTCAAAGTAAAAAATTACGGAAGAAATCTCCATCTTAGACTTCACATTCAGAAATTAAATAGGAAATGTTTCTGTTTGAAGACGTGAGCTTTCTTTGTATTACTTTGTGTGTGAAGTTAGCTACATTTATCTTAGTGTTGTGGATGAAATATTAAACCCATTGAAAATGGTGGAAAATGTCTGAGCTGAGATTAATGGGGCCAGCATAATTGTTCTTTATAAGCATTTAATGAAAATTTAAGAAGCAAAAGGAATATTTTTTTAACAGCTTTTGCATGAAAAGAGGGGAAAGTATTTAACTGTGTCATTACTACCAGAGAATTAATGCATCTTTTGTGAAGAGTACTATTAAGGGAAAATTCTACAGCTTCAATATATGTTTGTTTCAGTGGACCAAGCAGATCCTTATGCACATGTTGCTGCTCTTCACTTTGACCAAATGCTTCAGAGATTTGGCTCTCCCATTATTATATTGAATCTTGTGAAGGTACAATATTTTGAATATGTTCTGTGTGTTTGATTTTTTATATTACGCTTCTTTCTTTTGAAGTCCAAATAAATTTATTACTAAATTTAATTTAGCACTAATAGCTACTGAAATAGTATGGTTCCATTGAAAGCAAGGTTGGAACTAGATGACCTTAAGGTCTGTTTGAACCCAAACCATTCTGTGGTTCTATGAAAACAAATGTTATATTCAGGCATTGACAACACAATTCTAATTTTCAAAAATTATTGCAAGACTGGGAGATGGGAGCTGTTGTTTGCCATCTCCTGCCAGTAATGGAGAAGGATTTCCCTTTGTCCTCCTATATTCCACAACTGAATAGGATGCTTCCCTTTCTGCCTGTGTTTTTGCTTCTCTTTTGTGGTTCTCAATTTCATCTACATTGCCACTTTTATTTCTGTGTTTTCTTCTTTATGCTTACCATTTTTCATACCATTTTTCAGTATACCATTTTTCAGCCAATGATTATGCACAGTTGAAACAGGTGATTTTTACTATTAGTACAAAATGATCGTTAAAAACCTAGAATGTTCAGATTTTTCTATCTTTTCTGCTTTTATTTTAATTGTACTATTTATGAAGTGCTGCCTGCTGTTGTTGCCGCTTCCACTTTTGATTTCCGTTATACATGCATATGTGTATGTGTGCGTGTATATGGGTTATATATGTTTGTTAATGAAAATTTTGATGTTAAATTCCTTTTCTTTTTGCTAAAGGAACGTGAAAAAAGAAAGCATGAAAGGATTCTCAGTGAAGAGCTTGTTGCTGCTGTGACATATCTCAACCAGTTCTTACCCCCAGAGCATGAAATTATATATATACCCTGGGATATGGCCAAATACACTAAAAGGTAGAAAAAGTATTTTCTGTACTAGTGCTTGTAGCTACAATGCACATATGGAAGCAAATGTTACTGAACAAAACAGCAATTTGCAAACAAAACAAGGGAATGTGACTCAGGAGGATCCTTTTCTGCCTCATTCATATTTTTGAATCACAGAAAGTTTGGTAGAGAAAAATCAGTGTGATGTAAAAATCAAGGAGTTTTAGGGTTTTTATGTCTTCCCGTTCTATTTTAAGTAATATTTTTTTATCAAAAACAAGCAAAATTGCTCAGATACAATTAGTCTCTCTCCCCTGTAAAATCTAAGAAAACCATAGACATAATTATTGTTGAATGAATAAAGCTGTGATATGGTCCTATTTTTAAATAATTTTTGTTACTGAAAAGCTTTTTATATATAGAGATTTTTTTTAGTATTAATGTATCTTGACTGTCTCTTTTTTTTCCTTCTCCTCAGCAAACTTTGCAATGTCCTTGACAGACTGAATGTGATTGCAGAAAGTGCAGTGAAGAAGACTGGATTTTTTGTAAATCGACCTGATTCCTACTGCAGTATCTTGCGTCCAGATGAAAAGTACCTATAAATTATTTGATGCATAATGAATAGCACCTATTCTTTAGAAAGTTGTTTGGAATTTCTACGTTTATTAAATTGTTTGTTATTTTAAGACTTATTAATTTGGAAATTACTAAGTGACTTATTTTGAGGCATACTAATAAAATAATTGTCATCTAAATGTTACTGAGTCTATTGTTAACCAGTGGATTTTATGGTTTTATAAATACAAAATGTAAAACTTTTTTTTGTAAAATAGAAACTGTATTTGCTTAGACTGCTGCAGATGAACTCTTAAGTCCCTGAAAATCCAGAAGTAACTATTTGTCACTGAGTAGATCAATACATGATGTGATCTGTTATTTTATGAAACAATTTGAAAGTCACTCTGTTTTGTTTCTTTTTCAGGTGGAAAGAACTGGGAGGTTGTGTTGTTTCCACTGGTCGCTTGCAGGTACTAAAATATACTTCTTTAGCTCATAGTGATGTAGGTCAGCACTCCCAAAGAACAGTGAATCATTTCACTTAAATGCCTGATTGGTGACTCACAGAGTGCTCTTAAATTAATATTTATAGTACATATTATTATGGCTGCCCTTCCTATAAATCTGATTGAGAATTAGGGCCTAAAGTTCTTGCATAGTACCGCAAAACCTTATGGTGTTTGAATTGTATCTTTGCTGGACTTAGTCTGAGAAATGCTTGTATTTTAAACTGGTTTCCATTACTGTTTAGTCTGTAATATTACCAGTGCAGTGAAAGTTAAACCAGCACTATTTTAGCAAACTGCATCATAAAATGTTCTACAAAAGAAGTGAGGAATAAGCACATACTTAACCCTGGTAACATATTCATGCACGTGAACATGGGTTACTGACATTTTCACTGATGCTGAATATTCTGTACATTGTTACAGTTTCCAGCACTAAAAGAAAATAAAACTAGAAACGTGTCTTCCTTTAAGGTCAGAAAAGTACTGATGAAACTGAAAACCATACACTATTATTTATACCTGAATGTATGCTTATGTACTCTGAACGCGGGTCATATTCTTAAGAAGCTGTAGGTGCTTTGACTTGCCATTCATAATTTTGTATTTCTTGCAAGTTAGAGAGCATGTGACCATTCCTGTACTAGCTGATCACTGGGATATGTTTGTTGAGGGCAGACAAACAGCAGAGCAGATACAATTTTATCTATTAAAAAAAAATTAAACCTAGTTATTTTTTAATGTTAATCTTACAGGTTTATCTGTAGTAGGAAAGTGATTATTTTATCTTTAGTAATTTGAGAGTCACCAGTGACATATGTGTAAGCATTCAGATCACAGTTCATCGCTGACTAGACATCTTGTGAGTCACATCCAAATTGTGACTTCTTCAGGGCTGTTTGTGAGTTAAAGGAACATCCAGTTGCTGTGATGATAACAAGAACATTTTGAAAATAGGCATGACAGCCATCTGATGTAGCTTGCTAGAGATTAATTGCTTTTGAACTTTTATTAGAAATTTTTGTAAAGACATGATTTGAGATTTGATAAGACTTAGTAGTAAAAAAGTAATAATAATGAGCATTGTAATTTGTTGACTAAGATAAATCTTTTATTTGGATTGCTTTACCAGACTGGAGTCCTTCGAACCAACTGTGTGGACTGTTTAGATCGCACTAACACAGCCCAGTTTATGGTGGGAAAGTGTGCTTTGGCCTACCAGTTGTATTCATTGGGATTGATTGATAAACCAAATTTACAATTTGATACAGATGCTGTAAGGTAAGATAGATTAAAAGAGTATGTCTTGGCTTTCATTTTTAATTTTGAGTCAGATTATGGAGAATTATGTCCATGTAGAAGAACTGTACAGTTATTTCTGCTGGAATGATTTAATGTTTATTTATCCAAGTTTAAAATGTCTTTCATACGTGAAATCTAGAGAAAATCCTGTCATGCTGAAAGTTTGATCTTCTGGAATGGGATATTAATCAGTCTTACAATATAACTGCTTGACTTAATTCTTTTTATAAAAGAGATTTAAAGAGATGTGTTTTCCTTAGAACTAAATTTAAGAAAACCTCCGCCCCAGTCTTTTACACTTGCTTCAATTGCTTGAGGCAAAATGCTGACAGAGTGAAAACTGAAGTAAATACACACTTTCATCAAGAATGCCAAACTAGTAGTTGTATAGAAGTACATCTTACCTTGCTATTTCCTACTTTTTCTTTGGGAAGATTAAATGGTTTTTGATTTATTGAAGAAAAGTTTTTCAGCATTCTTTCAGATCAAGTGTTAATGGTACTCATACAAGCATCCTCAATCTCTTTAAGAAAACCCAGCATTGGTATTGAAATGCCTTGGGGGTAAGGGTGAACTAAGCTGCTTAACTTGTACACATGCTTCAGAAATTTATGTAGGAGTCTTTAAGGCGCTGCGTGTTTATTCCTTTAAGCTGTTGCTGTGACTGTGAAACTTATGGCTTCATTGCTGATTTTAATTAGTGGTTTGATAGTTTTAGAGCATGGAGACCTAACTTGTATTCAGAAACCACAAGTAGTCAGGTTTCAGTCCCCTTCACTTGAGATATACCTTCAGCTTCTCCTCTTTTTCCCCATTAGTTTCCAGCACTTGCCTGGTGCCTGGAGCTGGTATGTGCTGCAAAAACCCCCTCACCTGCAAGCATGTTGGTTCACTGTACAGGTGGGTGGCTCCTGGCCTCTGCCCAGTGGCCAGGGAGAGCACCCACTGGTGGCTTCCTGGGTGTGCTAGCAGTGCCTCTCATCCTCCATCTCTCAGCTGCTGGGAGCTGCAGGTTTACCTCTGGGAATAAATAATTCCTGCTGCCAATACCAGTTGCTGTGCAGCCTCCTGGGGCTACTAGTCAAAAAAGCCAAACCAACCCACCAAACCCAAAGAAACAAATGAGATTCTCATACATGGTGTTGTGATCTCTGAATAATTACTGTGGAGGCAAGTGGGTTTGGGGTTATTTCTTTGGGCATTTTTTGTCTGTTGTTTTGGGGTTTTTGTTTTGTTTTTTAAAGTTATTTAGCAGATGTTTCCTCCTAATTGATCTTATTGTACTTGACCTTGGACAGAAGATTTGCTGGACAGCTATTTAGTTTTTACAAAAATTGGTTTGCTGCTCAGATAAATGTTCTTCATCCAGCTCCTTTCCAGGAGAACTTCAGTCAGATGGTTGCATATGCAATACTGTCCCATTTGTTGGAAACTTTATTAGGGGAATGGTTTTGTTGTCTTGTTTTTGAGCAAGACAACAATGCTTTTGTTGTCTTGCCTTTTTTTTAGATTTTATTTTGTTGTTTGTTTCTATCTTCCTTATCACTCCTCAAGGACTTCTTTCATCTGTGGGTATAACATGTAGATGCCTGAATTACTTTTATCTTCCTATACTGATTTGGAACACATTCCCACAGGTTTAATGACTGGGTTTAATTTTTAATTTTGGGGAGGGATTGTTTTGTTCTGGTTTGAGGTTTTTTGCCTCTTAACTAAACTTCCAGTCTTTTTAGCAGAATACCATCCTTGTCATTTTCTTGCCCAAGCAAGGCCATGGTTTCGATTTCTGAGAAGCACTTTCCAGTCTCTTATCTTCTAGACTGAACACCGTCTCCTTAAAATAGCCTCTTTTTCCGAGATTGTTTTCTTGTTTTTGTCATTGATAGGAAGCTTGTTTAATTTTTGCTATCTGGACTAGTCCCATTTTGGATAGTGTCAACTTCTTGATGCCAGAGGACTCTTTTTTGCTTTTTTAGTCAGCTCTCCTTGTTCAAGTCAATTCTTAGCCAATTGTTTTTGCTCTCTGCTTACATCAAGATTTTCCAGCTCCGGCAAATGTTACCTAACTTCCATACACTTTGCTTACGAGTCATGTTTATTCATTTTGTACCTTTGAGTCATCATTATTGTAACTACAGAGATTTTTGGAAGGTTACGCTAACTTCATTCCTGGTGAACTCAACAGGAAATATAGCCTTGAGATATTGATATGTTCTGTCCCTTTTAATGTATTAAACATGCCTTGGTTAATGAAGATAAATTATTTTGTTTTCTCCTCATTAAGTAGTAGGACATGTTAATCTTCTTCCTGAATCTACAGAACTGCATACTCTGTGTAAACCTCTTTTATATTAAAAAGTAATGAAAAATCTCACAGTCTAAACCTTCTTAGGAATTATTATGTCTGAATAAAATTTTCACATATTTATCTGAGTAAAGGTGAAGAAATTTTATTGCACTTGTAGAAAGACCTTATTATATTTTCTCTTAAAAACTTCTGCTCAGAAGTTTCATAGATGATACATTTTGCTTTTCCTTCAGATTATTTGAGGAATTATATGAAGATCACGGGGACACGCTTTCTCTGCAGTATGGAGGCTCTCAGCTTGTCCATAGAGTAAAAACTTACAGAAAGATTGCTCCATGGACTCAGCATTCCAAAGATATTATGCAAACACTCTCAAGATACTACAGTAATGCTTTCTCAGGTAAATTTAAGTGCTTTCTTTCAAGCCTTGTTTACAAAACATCTTACTCATGATGTTTCAATAATCTGCACTATGACCTTATGACACAGTTCCTCTATACTATAATTTCTAAATAATTTAGTAACATCTTAAATAGGTTCTGATAAACATATCTGATTTTATGATATATTTATTTATCCTGTGTTGTAGCAGGCAGCCCTTTGTTTAGAAAATGCACACATGTAGCACTGCATCTGTCAGTGACATTTGTAGATCAATAGAGAAGCAGGTAAGTGTTACAGAGTTTCAAAATGTTGGACAAAATGTTTTCAGCAAGTAAAAGGATACTGGTAAATCCAAACATGAGTAGAAGGCTTCATGTGGAGTATTTCTTATGTTGTTTCTGAGAGCTCAAAACAAAGCAAGCTGTAACGCATGTAATTGCTTTGTATAAACAGAAGCTACAAACTGTTAAATCTGTGGTAAAAAAGACAAAATAAAATTAAAAAAAACAAGTTAAAAAGCTAGTCTTTTTCAGTTAAATAAGCTGTAAAATATGAACTTACTCCTTTATGAGCTCATATCACTGATTAGTTGAACACCGAGTGTTCTACTTTCTTCTGGGCAGCATTGCTAAGGGAAAACTTTGAAAAACACTGAGCCTTATGCAAAGCAACAAGAAAAAGTACTGTGGTGTGTTTAGAAGTCTTGCAAAAGATCCAAAAGAATGGTCAAAGGACAGTCTTAAGACATATCAGAAAGGTAAACACTGAGTGCTACTGTGTTATACATATTCTGTCAGTCCTCTATTAATCTTTTTCACAAAAGTAGCATAGCCAGGGGTGGAAGTACCCTTTTTTCCTTTGTCCTAGTAACCTGTAATTATTTAGAGACTGTGAACTTTAAAACAGTGAGTTGGACAATGACTAGAAATACTTCAGTAATCTCTGATTTCTTTGGCTAAAATTACTGCTTTTGTATATATAACAAATGTTGAGAGCACACCATTCAGAGTAACTTTTCCGAATGTAACTCACATAATTTGTTTATCATATTTGTCCAAACTAAATGGGAAATGGAGAACTTGTTTATTTCAGTGATGTGGTCTTTTATTGTTTGCATTGGCAATAAAGTCTGGCTTCATCAATTCTTTTGAGCCAAAGGTAGCATACCTGCAGTGTCACCTGTACTGTGACAGAAGATGGAAGATAGAAGATGTGATAGAAGATGGAACAAATTTCTGAGCTGTTCATTTTTATGGTAGCCACTGAAATAGTTAGGCAGAAGCCTGAGCAAAGTACTACGTTCACATTTGGGGTTGTGTTCTGCTTGCAAGGATAGTCATGATACGCATGTCTTCTAGTAATGAAATAATTCGTTCTAAAAAAGATGTTACAAAAACAAGAAAAAATTTAGAAAAAAAGGTCCATCTTGTCATCTCAATGAGCTTGTAGGAAAGTACAAAAACAGACATTAGTCTTTACTGAAGTCAGTACTGTCTTTGAATGAAATTTTCTTAAAGGTGCTACACACTTACCCCAATTTACTTACAGTTTTGGTATTTGATCCCATTTGAGGCATATATTTTTGGTGCTGTATGCGTTCCTTATGTTTGAAGATGACATTGTTGGAATGTAGCATTCAATGTCATACTTACTTTATTGCATTTTGAGTATGGAGTTTTAAAATATTTATTTCAATGAAATTTAAAGGTTCATTGTCCAACACTGCCTGTTTAGATGGCAGCAGCTTGCTTGTTAATGTGGCACATTAAGAGAGATCATTTTATTCTTTAAGTTTTCTAAGAAAGCAGAGAAAAAGGAAACAGTTTTAGACCAAGATGCTGATTTGCTGTACTGCATTTATTATTGTTGCTGTTAATCATATATCCTTTAAAATGCAAATAAAAATCTGAGGGCCAGCTAGTTCATGAATCAACATTCCCTTGTGTTTCTGATCTGAGAAACATTTTTTTAATGCTCGTGTATTTTATGTACCTGAATTGTATATATGATTCAGAGCAAGGTTGAAAGAGGTTTCTTCACTGCTTCCTAAAGAAATCTCTTAGCCACACATTACTGTTTATCTGTCATTCAAAATACATGAATCTAAAAATAATCTAGTCTTATAAGAAAGTGTTTTCATCTGTTGACCTCAACAATCTTAGGATAATTACTACTAATTAAGTTTACAGATGAAAAAAAGTAAGACACGTATCGAGTGATAATTTGGTGGAGCTTAGAATATGACAAGCTAAATTGATGATTTAAACCAACAGGAAACAAGTCCAAATTACTAAAAGGTGTTTGTGAAATTTAATCATTTTACTATGTATTGGCAAGACAATCCCAAAGAATTCATCATTTGTATGTTTTTTTGGAACCTTGTGTTGTATGGATGTTGTTTAATTTCATCAAGTCATTTTTCAGTTATTTAGGCTGCAGTAAATTCACTAAGGTATGTCAGATTTCCTGAAACATGCCTAATCCATGCATGTGCTTCATGCACACATGTCGGAGCCAGAGTTGCAGTGTGAGGTCTGACTTCTGCCAAGCCTGGGCTCCTGAGCGAGAAGCCAAGGGAAGAGGCAGCATTGGTAGCAGCCCCACACGCCCTGCAGTGTAGCAGGTCTGCTGCAAATGAAGTTCCATGGTGCTGCTTGGAGCCCAGAGGGCCCTGCAGCAGTCATAGGACACAGACACTCTGTCTCTTAGGAGCAAAGAGAAGCAGTGTCTGAATGGGCTTGAGCTGTGCAGTGCTCCTGGTCTTAAGTGTGCCTCTTGTCTAACAGATGCGGACAGGCAAGATTCTATTAATCTCTTTCTGGGAGTGTTCAAGCCTGCAGAAGGAAAGCCACATCTCTGGGAACTTCCCACTGATTTTTATTTGCATCACAAGAACACCCTCAGTCTGTCACAGACCAGGCAAAGGTATTTTGCTGTTCTGTTTTTTTGTTTCATTTTGTATTGCTCGAATACATTGTAAAAAATACATGTTGCTAATCAAATAATTAAGTCAGCCTGTCAAAAACTTGCTTACTGTTTTTTATATTTATACAAAAGCTTAAAAAACACCTTCAAGAGATTACCAAAAAATGCTGAATGTTGGTGTTTCAAAGGATTTGTTTAGTATGTTATTTTCCTGTGGTACTTAAAAAGAAGCTTAATTTCATATGATATTCCATCCTAAAGTGTAAAATGCTTCAGTGTCGCATTGAAGTACAGTTACTACAGTTTCACTAAGCAGTATAGAGGTGCATTATTCATTGTCAGATTTATTAATGGTTGAATTTGAGACTATATGATAAGGATAACATTTATTTTTCTGTGTACTGCACTTAGTCTGCAGCTGTGCATACCAAGAAACCCATGATTTTCTACCTTCCTTTCAGCCTATGTCTAGCCTGTTTTAAGACTATTTTTCTTCATTTGCATTCCACTGTAGTTGCATGGTAATAAACAGAAGTAATAAAGTATAAAATTTTAAAGTAATTCAATTGCTTCACAGAGGGAAATTTTTTCAAGACAATGAATACTATGCATTTTAAAAAATCCATTTTGACAAAAAGGACAGTACTCAACTTGTCAACTAAATAATCTCTTAGGATTTTGGCTGGCTTTATCTTTATTCATTTTGTGAGCTCTGAAGCTCTTTAGTACAAATGGCAGATCTGAATATCTGCATTTAGATTTTTGCCTGAGGAAAACTTCAAGTGTTTAACTAGTGTGATCAGTCCCTGTTGGCTGCTTATTTGTTGACCTATTGTAGCAGCTGGCACATGATATGGCTCTTTCTGAATTTCAGTCCTCTTGTATTGTCTCCTGAGGCTTCTCTTATAGGTAACTTATATGAACCATACAACTTAGTGCTATTTAAGGCATACATTAAAAATGCAATATTATTTTTCTCAACTACTTGTTCTGAACATTATTGTATGTGTAAAATTAATTCAGCTGATATATTGCAAATATGCAAATGCTCTAGTCTCCCTTTTACCTGTTACTCTGTTCAAACAGGCCATCTATTATTTGTCACACATACTGTCCTCAAAACACTATCAAAAAGAAATGTTGATACTCTTCATTTACTTGTTAATTATTTTTACCTTTCATTCTAACCAGAATTTCTTCTGAGCAGTTATAATATGCAATCAAGATGTGTCATTATGTGAAAAAAATGACACTTTCCTGTAATAACTAGGTGAAATAAATACATGCAAAAAAAAACCTCAAAGTGATTTTTTGTTTCTGCCAAACATTTGGACAAGTTCTTTGTGTAACTTTTTCCTGCCTGTCCGTGTAGTGCCTCTTTTATGTTCATTGGGCACAGCAGCAAAAGAAATAATGACACTCATAATGAAATCAAGGATATAGGAGAAGGAAGATGATGTTTCCTGTCACTGAAACTTCTTCTTGACTATCTGCGCTTTTTCTTTATTGTAATTGCCTCCTCATAAGGAGGAAAATATTTAATAAGGTTCATACCTTATTTCTATAAAATTCTATATAATGAATGATTCACAGGACAGGACAGTGAGTATGGAAAAGGAGACTGTCTTGCCACGTTACTTATCATTTATGCAGGTGACAAAGCTGAGTGTGTCTGCATAATTTTTGAAGGCACTGGAGAATATTGCTTACTAGCATGGTACTTTAAGAAGAAGCAGGGCCATCAAGCATAACTCATTCCTTACTGTCTAGGATATACACAGTTCTTGGAACTGAAGTGCGTTTTCCTGCCTGTCCTGTACCATCTCCTAAATCCCACTAACAAGCCTATCCCTGACTAGGGGAATACACTCATTGTGTCAGCTGCAGATGTCTACATTGACAGGAGTAGGAGATAACCACATTAGTACTGATTACAGCCCTCACAGTATTGTGAATACGCAAGTATTTGAAATAAAAATTAATGAAGACAATTGTGTGTTTTCATTCCATGTAATGAAATAGAGGAAACTGTCAGAGTAAATCAGAGAAGAAATTAAAGTGTATTTGAGAAGAGACAATAAAAATGTGTAAACATGAGTGAAACCTAAAATGTACTTTGTTTTATGAATGGTGCTTGACTTCCTTTGTTGTTTTACAGAAATCCTGAATAAGCTTCCAGCAGGGCTTGAATTTTGCTGTTGGATATGCCAACAGTTCTCAGACTGATGACAGCTGTTACATCAAAATTTATTTCTTTGTGTAGAAGTCAGCTGCTTTGACAGTCATCCGATCTTATTATCATTGACCTTCACTTCTTCATATATTTTTCCTAAATTTTGGGATCTGAATAACATCTGGGAGGGGATGCCTTACCCCCACTCCTCCCGCCCTTCATTGGCCAAAACAGGAGAAATACATAAATACTTTTGATATCTACTAACATTAATACATTAATTTTCATTGCTGTAGAGGTAGGCACCTGAAACGTATTTTTTAAATGAAACAAAACTACTGTTCTGTCCATATCTGAATTGAGTTTTGTGTGTTTAAACTTCTTGATTTAAGAGCAAAGTAATTGGACAGAGACCTGTCGAAATCCTCTCTCCAATTCAGCAATGTTTGCTGAAGTGACACTGTATGGATGGGTGAATGTTATGTTCAAACTGGATAGGCTGGGTGCAAGATCCAATCTTCTGTATCAATTGTGTTTCTGTTTTTCCTGTACAGCTATACTTACTGGTGGACCTCGGGTGTGCTAAAGCATTTGCCTCTTCCTTTTGATGAAGGTAGGACCTATATTTGCTCCTTGCCTTGCAGAGTATCTTGAAAAAAAAGTTTTAGTCACAAATGCTTTTAAATTGTTTTAGATCCTGAATCTGAAAAAAGAGTGTTTCCATAATTGTTTCTTAAATACTTTTCCATGCCCTCTCCCCTCAAGGAGATACGATTTTTCAATTGTAGGTTGCAAGAGCTACCTAAGTGGCTAAAACTTGACCTTCATATGTTTGTGAGCTAGGGTACACTTAATTATTTTTTTCTTTTTTTCTTGTCCATTAGCATCTATTTATAGTCTGTGCCGGTGGTCCTATTCCTGTCATAGATGATACAATATAGCTGGTGTGCCTTATTTCTCTGGGATGCTGTGGAGCATGTTTTATTAGGAATTGTCATCATGAAGTGAAATAAAATGAAATCAAATCAACAATGGTTGATAATGCATATTTATTAAAGATGTGCAATGCATCTTCTTCAGGTCATATTTCCTTGTCTCAGAGGGGATATGACTGTAGGAAAACATTGCCTGGTGCTAGGTGAGCAGGCTACTGTTTGATTAGATTTTTGCAAGAGTCAGTAATTGCAAGTAAAAAGATTTTTTTTTCCCCCTTCAGTGACATGTGCTGAAAACAGACGCAAGTTGACAGTGAAGAAATTCAACAAATATGAAGAGGAAATTGATATCCACAATGAGTTTTTTAGGCCATATGAGTTGAGCAGTTTTGATGAGACCTTCTGCTTGGCAATGACCAATTCTACACGGTATATTGAGATGTTTTGTGACTCTAAATCCTTGAATGGAAGTTGATTTGATATGAATTAAATATGCATTTGATTTATTAGGTTAAATACGTGTAATTTCAAATTTAGCAAAGTTCTTGAAACTAAATCATAATGCTACATGGAAATGTTACTCTAAAAAAAAACAACCAGTTAAAATAGCAATTAGTTTTCCAATTAATTTTTGTTATGGAGTGCCTAGTGTCGGGGCACTTGATGCCTGAGAGATGAACTGTGATTCACATCACAGAAGCTACTTTCAAAACAATTGTTTTTCCATTGTTCTGCTCTTGTTTTGCAGTTGTTTTCTTCAATTCATCTGGTGCTCACAGCTGGTCAGATGTTTTTGGGTTTTTTTTGTTGGCAGCAGTCAGCTGGCTATTTGGAGCATAATCTGAATCATGGTTTGGCTAAATATTTCCAGGCAGATTATGTTTCATGTAGCTGTTTGACCCAATTTGTGTTTTGGCAGCATTTTGAAAACCATGTATGAAGCCCTGAGTTACCAGGCCTCTTCAGCACAGGAATGGAGCACAATGCTCCAGCATCTTTGGCAAGTGGTGACACTTGCAGTTGTTTTATGGAACTAAATTATGCAACTGAAAGTTTTTTCAATACCTAGGTTATATGTCCATCAACTTGAAATTATAGAACTTGATATCTCTTTATGATGATTTTTTTTCTTTAGTTCCCAGGTAGATGCTAGAGGTGGTCCTTCCAGAAAGTTTAAAAATGTTGTGTTGCACTTTGTTCATGAACACATTTTCCTGTCTATTTTGGCAGAGACTTTATGCCTAAGAATGTGGGAATTGATCCAAGTCCATTCACTGTTCGTAAACCTGATGAAACTGGAAAGTCTGTGTTGGGGTAAGTCTGAAATCAGAAATTTTGTTCTGGTTTAATAGTAGTGAAATTGTAATAAAAATATATAAACTTTTATGTGTGTGTCTGTGAAGAATATTCTATGTTACACAGGAACTAAAAAATTCATTGGTGTTACACTGTGGAATTTTGAAAATCACACTAATTACACTTTGAAAATCACATCTAATTTGAGATTTTTTTTGACACTAGGAATTCTTAATTCAACTTGGGTAATATTTTTTCTCTTGTTCCTCAAAGTGCAATTCATTAGAAGATTTTATCAATAATACACGGAAGTTATTAAAATTTGATCATCTCTCCATCATAATGGTAACTCTATTCTCTATTGGAGTTGACAGCAGTGCATATTTTCTTGTTGTCCTTAAAAAATGATAAATTTTTCATAAATAGTGCATATTCTGAAGCAGCAATGAGTGCCAATTTCAGCATATCTTTGATAAAATATTTATGGTTAAAATTATATAAAATAATCCAGCAACAATTGCTGAGACAAGTGAATGCTTAATTTAGCTGCTTTTGCATCCTGGACCTGCTTTGTTACTCTCTTTGTTCTACTGCTGTGTCCCACAAGGGCTATGCAGAATCTTCCTGAATTCATTCTCTCTTTGGCAGCTCATATTAAGGAAACCTTTTGTCAATAGTTACTGTGCTGTCACAACATTATAAGTTCCTCTGAAAACTTGCTGTTCTGTTAAATACTGGAACATTTGACTCTCATATTCTCTGATCCTAAGGGTCTCATTGTCCATAAATGTTGAGAGTAGACTACGCTTATCATCAGTAGAACCTCATTTCATGCTACTGATTCCCTGGGAATAAACAGGAAGACTGTTAACTGTTACACAGTTTATCTCTGCTAAGAATTTGAGTTTATGAGTATTTTGAGGATAAGCTTTATTCTTCCGCTGTGGTAGAATGTCAGATTTTGGATTAATTTGTCTCCAGGTACTCCATTAAATAGTTGACCATTATATAATTTTCTAAGGTACTTCTATTCAGGCTCTTTGTTGTGATTTTTAGGGGTTGATGTGTGACAGAGAATCAGCTCCATCAAAGCCCCATTCCAGGACTCCCTGTGTATCACTTACAAGGCTTCCCCTTCACTGACTGTGTTGTAGGGTAAAACATGGCTTCACTCTTGCACCTCACCCATATTTGGCCTTGCAAAAGGCGGTACCTTTGCCTTGCTCATTTGTCATCATCTTATGATCTGAGGCACTTCTGAAGGAAATTTGGTGATCTCTTTTTGTCTGTAGGCATTCAGGTCCCAAGGAGGCCTAGATCTTGGCTGAATACATGTTGGGAGCAGGGTGTGGATAACACTCTTACCAGTGTTTGGCTACTTGCTCCATCACTCAGCTTTCAGAAAGGACTGCTTTTCTTGTGACCTTCACCTCCTCTAGAAAAGTAGGGAAAAATCAATTTATTTTCCCTAAAAAGAATGCTTATGTCTTCATAACTTTCTGTATATTTCAGTCCAAGGAAATGTCAGGTTCTGCTGAGTGAGAAATCAAACTTTGCCTATGGTGTTATTTTCCCCAAGGCATTTGTTCCAGCTCTAAGATTTTTTCTGATACAATAATGCCCTTGAGGGTGGAATATGCTCTCAGATGAGAACCTTTGGAGGACTCTCCTACTTGTTTATACATGTTCTTTGAGCATATAAAGTGTAGGTAATTCAGGACAGGGATAAACTGCTGTTTGAATTTCACTTCAAGAGACAGCATCTGTAACAGTCATGATGTGCACCACTTGGGTTCAAGTGATACTGATGAGAGCACTAGACCTACACCTCCAAATAGCATTTGCATCAATATATGAGCTCTTTTGACAGCCTTTAGTATGCTGCTGTCTTCCTTTAGAATGAGACACACTGTTTGTCAGTGAAACATGGGACAGTCACTGCAGCAAGGAAGAGATGTTCCTTCCCTATTTCCAGGGATTTGTCTCTAAACTGTCTATTCATTAGTTAATGTTTATTCATTAACTGCCTTTCCTGAAATATTGTGACAGTGTCTGGGAGGAAATTGCAACGAAATACTCTTCTGTGGCCAGTAGGAGAGGATGCAGTATGATTTCTGCTGGGCAAAATAATGTGTACTTTCAGAGTGCATACAGCTAAATCCAGTGTTAGTCTGCTTACATACAGATGCTTTATCTTTAAGGCTTCTTGAAATAAGGCACCTCTCCATATTGACTAGAATTTCTTGAGTGAGAAATACATACTGCATCACGAAATGTTGCTGAGTAAAGACTTAAATTGAGGAGAGAGGTATGGAAAATAAAGTGAAAAAAGGTGACACTACCATTAAGATTTGGAACCAAGATAAAGGAAGCTAATGGAGTGGATACTGTGATAAATCAGAAAGTGAAACTTTTTCCAAGATCAAAATCAAAGATTTTGTCTCAATTAATTTTGATTATTTTTTATTTATGCAGTTGTGGGGAGGGATTTAAGAATCAGAGAATTGATGGAGAAAAGCTGACAGGATCCTTTAGGCTTTCTTTAAATGCTCTGGAATAAGAAGAAATTGAAGAAGACAAATCAATCAGGGATTTTAAAATATGAGCAAAAAGTTGCTCCAGAGGTTACAACTTATTTCCCTGGAAAGACTGTAACCTAGATTAGGAATTTTAAATATTCATTGCTAATATCTTGCTGATTTCATAAATACACACTGCCTTTCCATATAGGAACAAAAATAATAGAGAAGAAACTGTGCTGCAGCGCAAAACAGCTGCTAGTGCTCCTCCACCCCCAAGCGAGGAAGCAATGTCAAGTAGTTCTGAAGATGATTCTGGGACAGATAAAGAAGATGAAGGTTCTGTTTCTCAACGTTCAACTCCAGTAAAGGTGACTGATACAGGAGACAATACAAAAATCACAGAGGTAAGAAATTACTATGTTAGGCAAGAAAGCTTAAAATTCACATTCCCTTAAAAGAGCATTATAGAACAGTCAGAAGTAAAGCACTGAGAAATTTAGTGACAAAGGTCTCAGTGTAATTTTTTTTTTTTGTGTAAATACTAGCATAAGTGCAGCACAACTGTTTCTTAACCTTTTCTGTTCTTCCTGTCATGTAATAGTGAAACTCAAAAATAGCATTAAAAAAAGAAAACTACTGTCAGAAACCTATGGCATTTGAAAGGTATTTGGGTCATTATGTAATTTAAAATGGACCTGTATTAATGTGTTAATTCAGATCGTGTGTTAATGCATGTCTGATTATTGTCTGTTACTGTGCTCTGGAACACATCATTAGGTGGCCTTGGAGCATGCAAATTATTCTTTTCTCCAGGAATGTACGTATCTACCTACTCAATTAACATTTAGTCCATGGGAGTTAACCTGGAGCAAACCCCCTGAAAGACATGTAGTATGAACCTGAGGTAATGAGAACCACCTTTTGGAATTACAAAGCAATTGCTTTGGACAATGCCTCTTGCTTAGGTCGATTAACTGTACATTAATGTTCATTCTGTCTAAATTTCAACCTGAATTATGTGGACACTTTCAAATTGCTGTCCCATAATTATGTGGTCTGGCATTTAAAAAAAAATTAACTAACTTCAAAAATGTGCATGATAATGTTACCACACAGGTCCTAGGCTATTACTGCTACCAAGGTTGCAGATAATGACAATGAATAAAATAGTGAAATAAATTGCATTTGCCCAGTCAGGTGGAAAGAAAGAATGTATATTTGCAGTTGTGGACTATTAATCTTTTTTTGCTAGCATAACTCCCATTTTGTTGGAATCCCTTGGGTGCTAATTTAATGAAAATACTGAGTTGTAAAAAAAATTATAGCAGTATCTATTTTATTAGTTCATTTAATAGTTCTTCAAATTCTTTCTTGTAGATATCCATTTTGGATACCATTGAAAGCATCTTAGCAAAAGGTTATGCTAATGTATACCATAGAAATTTGCAGAATACTTATGTTGTCTGGCAGGGTTTGTTTTTTTTTTTTAAGCCACAGCTAATTTAAATGGTTATAGTATTGTGCATGTTATCACTTCTGAAGAAAATTGAGTATTTATAACCTTTGCATAAAATGGAGTGCCTTGATTCAAATTTTGATTCTATTCAGTCTTTAGCCTAAGGTTGTGTGTTCTTAGATAATGGATTTTCAGCCTTCAATAGTGTCTCCTTCCTAAGCCAGTACAAGCACATTTATTTATTTATTTGTGTTTATACAAGGTATTTTATCTAAAAATTTTCCATTATCTCTGAATAACAGGGTACCTGTTCTCCAGCAAATCAGATGGTTTCTAGGTTTTTTAACAAAAATCCAAGTTGAAATTTTCTTCTTGATTCCTACTATTGCATAATTTATCTCACAGCAGTTTTTCCCTTTGTTTTGAACACACTTCAGCACTCAGACCTAAAATATCTTTTTTTGATTTTTAAGATGCTTAAATGAAAGGTGTATGTAAACACAAAGTATGATTTGAAATACAGAATTTCAGTGGTTTAAAAACTGGGTGAGCTATTTTGACTTTTTATTAATGGTGTGAAGAAATACATTCCAATATTTTAGCACCTTATCATGCATTGAATTTTAGTCATAATTTACATTGTTAATTCATCCAATTCCTTATTATCTGGGGTACTCAAAAAGCTGGCTCCTTTCTGTCCACATCTCTGAGAAGTTAATAAAAATTCATTTATACTTCAGGTCAGGACATACCTTTCTGAAGCTGTTCGAATTATTTTGAACTAAGAGAAAATTGTCTTTATTTGACTTATGTGTCCTGTCAGAAAAACCCCCTCAGTTTAGCACTGAATCACTGGACGCAGTTAGTGAACTATTGCATGTGCACTGATTCCTTGTTACAGTTGACTGACATGATTGCATAATATATAAAATAAAAATAGTTCTGTTCAACCTGAGGATTGTAACTATTGCAGAATTAACAGCAGGAAATGTGAAAGCAAATGTGGAAGCATGTTATGAATGAATATGATTTATTCTATATTAAGTTTCAATACAGAACAAAATTTAATAACTACACCATTATGTTCTATTAATGTAATTTATTCTCCTAATATGTTGTTTTAACTGATGATATCTTTGAAGAATTCTTTACTTGTTGAATAAATGTGTTGATTAATATTTTTAATAAATTACTTTCTTTAAAAAATATGTATAAGCAATGATTGTTGTGGATGTGAGAAACCTGTTTGTTTTTGTCTGCACTTCTGAAATGATATTTTGGCTTGTAAGGAAGTTTTTTCTTAAGAGCAATCTTTCTTTGGATGTTGTTACACTATTCTTAATCTGAATCTTTCTTATGCTCCAGAATGTAGTGCAGTCAACAAGAGATGTGTATGGAGTCAATCTCTCAGATACCCCTTCAGAAGATGATCTTGCAATATATGCAAGGTGAGATAAATTTCCAGTGGTAAAGGATAATTTGAGCTAGTTAAGTGTGCTTTGTCAAAGTGCTGCCTTTGATTAAACTTACTTAAATGAGAAATTTGTCTATATATGCTATTTCTTTCAAAATCAACCTGTTTTCAGCTGTCTGTGTCAATGCTGATTTCAGTGGAAGCTGTGCAGATGTCTCTGAAAGCAAAATTTGGAGTTTAAATCAAATGAAAGATGCTGTAAAAGAAATATCTGTCACTTAATATAATTCTAGAAATTCATAAGTAAATTCATAGGAATTCCATACTACATTGATAAGTAAATTCCATAAGAATAGTTCCATGATTGTAAGCTTTGTAATCTGTGAGGTTTGCATTTTTTGATTGTTTAATTACTCCAGTTCAAGTCAGTCATAATGAAATAGCTTATTCTGTAAAAATGCATATAAAGTAATAGAAGTTGTCTTTTTGTTTAACATGATATCTTACAGGGGTCTAAAATATCTACACGTCATCTCAGGAAAGCACTGTGTGTATATTGAAGTGAATATTTTTGAGACATGCATTGAAATGGCCTTGTGTGCATTTGCTTTTAGTTTCTAATGTGTGATAGCAATAGCTATCTTGTAATATTTGAAACCTTTTCAGTTTTTAAGGGAAATTTTAATTCACTGTGATACCTAATTTGGTGAAATGTGGTGTTTCATCCTGACTTAGTTCCTTAATCCACTCAAAACATTTTTCCTTTATATTTAAAATTATTTTTCTCTTACTTTTTCTGTAGCTGTAGGTATTTCTCTTGCACTCTTTTGTTCTTTAAAATTCCCACTTCTAACTATTTCCTACAAGCTGAGTCATTTGAAGATCCTACACTTGAATAGGGTTAAGGAGGATGTTTCTCATTATATCTGAAATTTTTACCTTTGTCTATGCCTCTGCCTTTGTTTCTTTTTTATTTTAACCCTAGAAGATGGATGCAAATTTGACAACTATCCTTTGATACAGCAGGTAGTTATTGTGGTTCTGAAAATGGCCCAGTGTGAGCTCGTATCTACTGTGAGTCTCTCTGTGCAGATGAACAACTCTGTGTTAACATCCAAAGTTGCAGCTACTTCCAATTTTTTAATTTCTTCAGACTGGACTAATGTTCAATCTTTTGTTAATGTAAAACTGTAAACCCTTTGGAGGCTTTGAAGCTCCCTATTTATTTCGTTTTTAAGAAAAAAACCAAAAAACAAGACAAACGGTGCATTTATTTCATTTCCTTTGAGCAATGCAGATTTTAAAAATAGAAAAAAATACAAATTCTTTATCTCTTTTAGCTAACAAGCCATAGTGCTATTTCTGGTCTGGTGTGCTGATTTATATAATAGAGGATGTCAGTAAAATCTATACTTTGCAAAATGTACATCGCTTGAGAATAGCAGCAATTTCTTTCACAGTATGATGACAGTTCTCACATCAAGCCTTTTTCTGTTACTGTAATGAGGGAAGTGGGGCTGTAAGATCCTGACTTCACGTGACATCGCTGGACATGCTACATGTTTTTTCATTAGGGTCTCACAGATTCAAAGTACTTCAGGTTAAGTTACTTTATGTCAACTGATCTGTATTAAGCATATTTGCAAATGCAAATTACAAGTAATTTGGATCTATTCAGCCTGTTTTCACTGATGGCTGAGATAATTCCCATCAAAACAGAAATCACAGAAGTCCAGATTGGTTGAATTTGGAAGGGACAGGAAGTCCCTCCAATAATTTGAGGTTGTATGCTGCGGATCAGCTGTGTATGGTATCTTCCTGATGTCAGGAAACTTGCTTGTGTGCATTTAGGTCTTGTAATTTTCAAAATACTGAATAATTTGAAGCAATTAATTAAAACACTTATGCAGTTTGTTTGCCTTTGTTTTTTTTTTTTTTTTTTTTTTTTTAAGTTGGTTTCAATAGCAGACTCCTGCATTATTCCACCTAAAATTCTCTTATTTAATAATGTAAGTATTTATTCCTTTAACAGTCAAAGTTGATGTTGCTTGTTTCTACAGTATAGAATCTGAATGTAACAGAAAGAAAAGCTGCAATAAGTTGCTTAGGAACATGTTGTTCATTTGACTTCTGTACACTCTTTCATGCAATTGGTTTTGCACTGGTAATAGTTGCTTGTTAAAATGTAGTAAATATTCCTGAAGTAGACCAGTAAGACTTCTTAAGCTAAATGGAAGCTCACTGTTAAGAAAAACTCTCTGCCTCAGAAAATTAAACTAGTAAATCACAACTGACATTTACTTGTCTTTCCAGTGGCACAGCTGTTGGAGAGTGAATAAATTGAGTGTAAGATAGTTACATATATTTGCATGTGAAACTGTCTGGCTTTTCCTCCTATTCTGAGTGACTAAGATTAGTAGTAAACTACTTTTCAGAAGATTTTGTTCCACTTCGTTGCCAAGGAAAAAAAAAAACATGACAGTATTTCCCATATTTCACAGCAGCAAATATTTGGAGATGGAGAAATTGTCCCAAAAGGTTGTGGTAGTAAATAAATCATCTGGACTAACACCATTTCAGATTAATAAACTAGATTGAATTCAGTAGAGGACTGACTAAAATCTGAAGCTTGAGAGACTTCATGTCTTTTGCTGATTTTTCCATAGGCTATTCCTCTGACTGATTGCTTTGAGAAGGACATGGGAAGGACTATAGAGGGCTGCCTGTTTCTTAGGGGAGGCCTGTTTCTTCCCATGACATACTAGGTGACACCAATTGATAAGCAAATCTTTTTTCAAAGGAGGTTCTGAGTTCATGCATGCATCATGAACTTCTAAAAATCTCTCTTGTTAACCAGAGAAGTACATCATGCTCAGTGACTTACATAGAATGACTCAAAATCTCATTTCTTAGTGTAATTTTCTTTGTCTGATGATTTTTGGAGGATAATTCTTCTATTTCTTTGATTTATTATTCGATCTACTGATTTTCACAGGTTTGTTCAGCTGGGACAGAGTCAGCATAAACAAGACAAGGGCGGCCAACAATTTTGTTCAAGGCAGCCCTTGGATAAGGTCATAAATTTGTAAGTATTTCTTTTTCCCTTTAGCCTGATTTTGCTTTTGTTCTTAGATAAGAAAACTGATCAGGTAAATTTCATGTTAAATTGCTTGAGAGTCACACTTCCATTTTCTTTACTACATAAGGGGTTTCAATGCATAGCATGAAGAACTGGGTTTTTGGTTTTTGTTTGTGTTCTTTTGGGGAGTCCTGATTTTTGTTTTCTTTAGTTTTTGCAGTATCAAGAGGTTTGTATTTAAAAGTATTAGCAATCCTGAATTAACAGAAAGTGCTGAATTTATTGAGTTTAGAGGGAAATTTCTTCTTGTCTACTCTTCACTAAAAAACATTCAAAGTTGCATTTGTTAGTACTAGTGTATAAAAAAGGTCATGGTATTATCCAAATGTCATACTAATATTGAACCAGGATTTAAAATTCAGATGATCAAGTACTACCTTCCCAGTTGACATCTTTATGTAGTGTAGGCAGCTTAAAGTTTCACCAAGGCAAGGCAGAATTTTATTTACTTCTGTTGCTGGGGTACGTGATCCTTTATCCAACAGCGTGGCCACTTCTTAGAGCTGCAAGAGCTTTTCTGCAGTCCATTGATTTACAGAAGCCTCACCTTTGTTTCCTGCACTGCCTCTTGTCTACCCCTCTGTGTTGGTGAAGTGAGGAAACCTTAAACACAGCATTTATACCTAAGTAGGGAGAGAGACTGGGTGAGTCTCAGTTGGGCTGAGAAAAAATGACATAAAACAGATGTAATGCTGTGTATGAGACAATACTGTCTAATAGCAGTGTTTAGTAACTTGGTATTACCTACACTTAAAGTGATGATACCACATTTGTAGGTAAATGAGCCTGTAGTTTTAGAATAAAACATGCCTAATGGGTATTAAAGTAGTAAATTAGATTGGCAAACTGTAAAACTGTTTTTCAATTTGAGGGAGCAAGCCTGAATGTTTTAAATAGACAAGTTTATTAAGAAAATATTTTGTAAGAAGAAGAATATTTTTTTGCTATGACTGAAGGCAATTTCTTTTTTATAATTGCAAAATCTCCCAACATGTAAGACAGTGTAGAAGATAATAATTTCTTTCTTACTCCTTTAAATGTAATTTTTTTCCCAGTGCTGAGCTGCTGTAAAATGAACACATTAAAGAGTCTCTACATAGGATTTTGGTGGCTTTGGGATAGTCAGATGTTAATTTTTCTCTTTTCTTAAGCGTAATTTCCATGTGTCTCTGAATAGTAGAAGTGTAAAAGTCATAGGGCACACAAATTGTGCCTCCTGTCACTCCTCTTGAAGTCATGTAGATCATCTCTCCTTGCCAGTTCTACCAAACATGGTCCTCTATGCACGAGAGAGGAAATAGAATATCTTAGAGTTGGTGATTTCTTTTTTATTACACTATATCACTAGACTGCTTAAAAATTTTCCTTGTGTTTTGTTCTGTAACATTTTAAGAATGTTTAAATTCTGTTAGGATGGTGACAGATTGTTCTTTTAGTTAAAGTCACAAATGTAGCCATTCTTAAAAGACATGTTGTTAACTCTGAAACAAGGAAGCTTTCTCTTACCAAGTTTGAATTCTGCTCTGAATCAGGAATTTCCTTGGAGAATACTAACTTTTGAGAAATATAATAGAATGAACATAAGTGTACTCAAGATCAGGCAGAGAGGGAGGTTTTTCAGTAAGAGCAGCTAAGGCACAGCTTGCACTTGTTTCTCAAGGAGCTCTTGAAGAAATTAAAAAAATATACTAACTCCTATTAATTTCATGTTAGATGCCTTTTAAATTGAAAAAAAATCTGACCAGTTTAATTTGCAAGTGGTTGCTTCATATATGATACAAATGCAATCAAACCCCAGTTCTTTTCATAGTAAAATTAAGTACTCAGTCTAAAACTTTGGATTCATATCACCAGTGAGATATAATTTAAGTTTAGGTTAGTTGTCTTTTCCACACTTCTCAAGAAAAGCTTTTTTTAATAACCCCACATTTCACAATTTTAATCACTTGACCATTTTAATTAAATCCATGAAGCCATTACAAAAGAAGAAATATTTCTTATTTTTATAATGTTGCTGCAGTGATGTTTCTGAATTCAAATATGAATTGTATAAATACTGAAGTTTCTGTCTTGAATTTAGAAACTGTAAATATAGACTAGAAATAAAAAATGGGGACTTGAACAGGGACCAAAGTGATGCACTGAAATAGTACTGAAGTTGAGTGGAGGATGTGTAAGGATATTGAAGTTCTTTTTGTTCTTAGAAATTCCATGAAGGAAAATTGATGGAATTTTACTTAGATCTAAACAGAGCTGGACTACTTTTAGCACAATCTATTATAAAGTGTATGAAGACAGACTCTAGTGTAATTACTGTTGGCTGACACAGAGCACCTGTTCCTAATTCCCTAATTCCCTAGTACTTATTTTGGTATGATATAAATAATACTATTATGAAAATACACTCTCAAAACCTTTTCAAATGTACTTCATACGTTTGTCTAGGAGTACAAGAAACTTTATTCCTTCCTGGAAAGGAATTTGAGTGTTTTGACTCCCTGTAGCACAAAAGAGGAGTGTGGACACAGTTAAACATCCTTACACTGAAGTGTGGCTCATGCATACATCAGGGTCCAAGCTGTCTTCAGTGCCTTTGCTTCAGATCAGGTCATAGAATGGGCTGGAAGGACTCTTAAAGACCATCCAGTTCTCCAACCCCCTACCATGAGCAGATATTGTAAATGCAGGTGAACCCAGTGGGAGGAAATGATGATGTCCAACTCCAGTTCAGAAGACTGAAGAATTTCTTTACTATAACTATACTATAATACGTTAATATACTACTTAAAGGAGGTACTAAAACTACATAGCTACTTTGTCTAACTACCATATCTAACTCCTCAAAACTTGTGACCCTCTCTCCAGAATCCACATACAGGTGGATTGGATTGGCCACCAGTCTCAAACAATCCTCACCAGAATCCAATCAAGCCCAGGTAAACAATTCTCCAAACTCATTCCACATGGGTAAACAAGGAGCACAAATAGAAATTGTTTTCTCTTTCTTTCCTCTGTGCTCCTCTATGAAAAAATCCTGAAAGAGAGAAGAATGTGCCTGACACAGGCAGACACTTTCCACTAAACCAGGTTGCTCAAAGCCCCGTCCAGCGTGGCATTGAACACTGCCAGGGACAGGGCAAGCACAGTTTCTCTAGGTGACCTGTTCCTGTGTCTCGCTGCCCTCACAGTGAAGGATTTCCTCCTAATGCCTAAATTAAACTGTCTTCTTTCAGTTAAAAGCCATTCCCCCTTGTCCCATCACTTCATGTCTTTTAAAAAAGTCCCTCTCCAGCTCTCTTGCAGCCCCTTGTAGGCATTGGAAGGTGATAAAATGTCTCCCTTGAGCCTCCTTGTCTCTATGCTGAACTCTGTCAGCCTGTCTTCATAGGAGAGGTACTCTAGCCCTCTGATCTTCTTAGTGGATATTTGCTTAGGATTCAAACAAGGTAAAAAAGTAGATTTTGTTTACTTTTTAGATGTTCTTCATAGACTTGAGGAGAACTAATTAATGTTGAAACAAATGCAGTGGCTTTCTGGTGACTCTCTGAGAGCTAATCTACATCATCATGAACTTTTCCTTGGAAGTATGGAATATCCTTATTATAACTAACTGAAGGTTTTAACTGTATCTTTTACTGTAGAGACAATGATACTCTTGGTGAAACCATAGCACCAGGAATCTTGCTCATAAGTGGGATGAAAATAATTGAAAAATGCATGTCAAGGGTGCTGTCCTTCATGACATAAAGCTTATGTTCCTGTCTACATAATTTTCACTGGGAGGCCATAAAACTACAAGTCTCTAGGGAAACCTGATAGCCAAGTCATAAATAATGTGCTCTACTTCATGACTATTGTAAGATATTAAATTTATTAAGTAGATTTTTACATGAATATGTTAGAGAAATAACTTTTAATTAAATGACTGGATAATACAAGCACTCTACAAATAGTTACAGCTTAATACAGGGTTATTAATCAAAGTTAGCACTCACGAACATGAGGTTCTTTCAATATATTTTTATCATGTTGATGCAAGTAGGAGGAAAATTGAGATTTGGTTATTAAATGCTCAAAATTAAATAGACTTTGCTGCCCAGCTTCCATTGTACCTAAGGAAAGGATTTTTGAGTCATTAGTGCATCAGAAATGTCGTATCTTTAGAAACCAATCAATAAATAGAGAAGGCATCATTTTAGTGTAATGGCTCTGTTTTGCACTTTACTTAATTGCCCACTTGCCAGTGAACCAGACCAGTTAGATTTGAGTAAGTGACATCTTTTGTTGTTGGATAGTGACATTGGTAAGTTAGTACAGTGTGCTAATGTCAAATGCCATTGCTAGAGTCTCAGCTTGGATACTTTACACTGGTTAAATAAGTACTGCAGAAACTATGGATGCTTTGAAAAACAATCTACTTCTAAAGCATCTAGACTAAAGTTTTTTACCAGCTCTGAAAACATCCACCTTAAATAAATTTGAAGTGATAATGAGAAGAAACTGTCACATTGTTGAAAAAAATAATTAAGTTTTAGAATATGTGGCCAAACTTTGTGGGGGACCAGTGATTTTATTGTCTCAAGTTCAATAGTATATTTGTATAAGTAATTCTATTATTGCAATCAAAGAGTAATTGAATGTGTGGCTATGGAAAGTTGAGATGTAAAATTGAAAAGTATTACTTTAATCTGGAAACATTTTTGTTTTATATGTTGTTTTCCAGCTGTAGTGGAATATAGGCACAGTATATCCTACATGACACGCTGCAGTAATTTTTTTAAGACTAATGAACTGTCAAATGATGAAACATCCGAAATACAATATATTTTACTAAAATAAAAGGCTGCAAAATGAGGGAGCAAGAGTTTTTTGACAGTCGTAATGGAGATTCTAATTTAGAAACAGTGTAAAACATTAGTTTGTGTCTATGATGCAGGTAGGACTTTACTAGGGCATTTTATTTATAGAAGGGTTTTCCCTTTGCTTAAGTGTTCTAGTTCTTACTTGTTTTTTCACCTTCAGAATAAGAGATTCTACGCACAAAAATAACTTTCTTGTCTCCTGAAAAGCACACAGGTAGTGAGTCATGACTGTGGCTTTTGTAGAATATGGCAGTGATGCTAATATCTGAGTCTTCATTGCATTTGAGCTGGTTGATGTTTGCTTTATGAAATAGTGAGCTTTGACAGTAAGTTGCCACTTTACTTTCTTACCTGAGAAGCTTTGAGCCCAAAAATATGTGTCTATGCAGATTCAAATATATTATTTGTTGGATGAAGAAGATTTTTAAAATATTGTCATAAAATATCTGAGTGCTGTTGCTTATAATAAATTGTCTGCTTCCTGATAATTAGATGGAAATTTCTTACCTAATTAGTCCTTTCTCTGTGTTGAGTCAGAGTATAATCACTTGTTATAATTGCTACTAAGTGGAAGCTCAATGAAGTCTTGCTTTTATCTGCTATAATGCATGGCACAGATCTACTTTAGCTGGGGTACTTACTGACCGTAGTAGATCTGAGGAAGGATGAAGAAATGAGGGCAGGGCAAAGGGAAGTGAGAAGGTATTCTGTAATGTGATTAATGACAACTTACCTAATTACCCTACTTGGAAAGCTGGGTCTTACTAGGTCTGCAGTAGTGATAAAAATCTAGGTAAATTAATTCTCCAGTGAGAACTTGCCCTCTCATTGACTCTTCTATATAATTCAAGGAAAATAAATACTCCTCTCTCTCTCTGTGGAAAATTTTTGCCTAAAGCTCCAAATATTCTGCATGTTTGATTTTTTTTCCAGAATGCCCATCTCCTCCTTTTCTCAAGACAATATTTATGAAGTCCAGCCTCCACGAGTTGATAGGCAATCGATAGAGATTTTCCATGCACACATTCAGGCTGGAAGAGGAAACATGCAGCCCCTGGGAAGAGATGACTTCCTCATGTACAGAGAGTACATTCGAAACAGATACATGTAAATCCAAGCCGCGTTCTCCTGCCAAATCAACTGGACTGATATGTCACAAAAATAATTTTAGAGAGGAAGTCTAGTTTTGTTCTTTTGCAGTATTGAATTTATTACTAACTTTTGTATTTATTATTCTTTACTGTTATACATTTATTGTATTGTGCTTTAGGGGAAAAGGTGGTTTAATATCTGATTTAAAAGGTTATTTAATATATTTTTGGCTGAAAGTGTATCCTATGATAATCAGAGCACCCAGAGTCACTAGAGAGTATGTAGCAATTTGTGGCAAAGAAAATATGGCATCTTTAGTTTTTTTATATTAATTTCTTACACTGTTATGTTTGCTAATAAAACTGATTTGTTTACAAGAATCAGAAGAGAATAATTTTCTTCCTCTTTCTTCCATGACAGAAAGAAATTTTCTTTTACAGCAGAATATTTTCTGATACTTCTTGAGGTTTTTAGCAAAAGAGTGAGAATGACTGCTTGCAATTTTCTGTTTTCTTAAGCAAAACTGAAAAATAAGTGGCTTATGTCAAATACAAAATTTACATCAACAGCAATAAACTTTGTAACCCTAATATGTGTCAAAACTAATGTCACTGGTGCTGGTAGCTACAGAATCTGTGCCACATGCTGCAGGGTGAAGATGGCTTGTGATTAATTATCACAGTTTCTAGTACAAGTCTGAGGAGAACCCCATAATGACTGCATCAGCAAATGAGGGAATGCTCTTCACATTACTGGGTCTGGACACCTGGAGAGTGTTAAACCATTCTGTCACTTTTCTGTATGACAAGCACTATCCTTTTGAAGCATACTCTTCCCATCCCTGTGTTTGTGCTCCTGTGAGATGCCTTTGGGTTCAAGCCTGGAGCCTCCAGGGAAGGTGGTCTTGGTAAGTGACTACATCAGCTGGGGTCATCATGCAAGAGTAAGCAGGAGTTGGGTTAGGCAAGACTGAACATCATGTCCTGTGCTGGGTAAGAGGTAAAGAGGTAGCAGATGTCTAAATAGGTTCTTTAGGGCTTGTGAGTAAAACATTTTTCAAATTAAAAAAAAAAAAAGGAAGGGAGGAAGCCTGTATTTTGCAATTGCAAACTAATTGCATCCCAACACTTTGTAGCTCTTTGCCTTGAAGAATACTGACAGTATCAGCAGCATTCTTGACAAAACATTTTGTTCCACAAGCTTATACAGACCATGTTTCAGAATTTTATGGAATAGCATAATAACTGTTTTAGGGGTGTAGCCAACTGCATGTAACAGATGAAGGGAACATGTTTGTGTTCACAGTAAATTGCTTTCCAGGCAGCTACTGTAGATTTGTGGCTGCTCACTGCAAACATATTTGCATATCTTTGAATATTTTATGCAGTAAGTTGCACCTCTGTCAGTAATTCAATATGAGAAAAAATGCAGCGGGTAAAGGGGAAAAAGGTTTCTTGTGATACAAGTTTGTGTGTCTCAGGGAAGAACTTGCATACAGTCAATGAGAATACGGTACCTTGAAAAGAGTCCATTCTCTTTTGTTAATTGTTTTGAGCCAAATGGTTGTATTTTAGGAGATGCAAGAATGAATTGTCACTTTAGGTAATACTTCATTGCAATTGTCAATGTTTTTTTCCTCTGGAAAAATAAAATATACTGAATTCTTTTGCCCAATATGAAAATAATTAGAAGGAATAAATGCTTGCTTTGAAAACATGTAGAGCTGAAGTTCATGTCTTAGTGAGGAAAGGAAAGCGCACACTTTCCTTACTGCACTTAAACTATTGCAAGGAATGTTTTCTGGACTATCACAGACCCTGCTTTTGTTGTTGATAGATGCTGGTAATTCATAAAAGTTACCCTTGAAAGTGCACCACTTACCCACAGATACCTCAGAAGATGAGACTCCCTTTTCAGCAACCAACAATGTTGCACAATTTAGGGATAGTAATGATTTGCAGCTCTAGGAGAAAATATGTTCAACCCTCAGCAATTCAGACACTCCTCAAAAAAGAGGATTAAAGGAGATTGGTTTACAGTTCTGAGAGCTGAATGACACCTCAGTGATGGCTTGTGTGATCTACCATCATCATACTCTTAGCAGCTGTTCAGAATGCTTCCAAGTGCCAATGTCAACTTTCAGTAGGCTTGTTTAAAGAAAAAAAAAAGAGTCCAATGCACAAAGCAAGACTTCCAGCTTAACCCTGAGTAAACTCAATAGTCTGAGTGGACCTGCTGCCTAATGCACATAAATGATTATTTAAAATAGAAATACACTCAATCACCCATCTAACAAGTTCAGCTGGATAAAGGACTCCTGAGGTGCTGCCTCTGCATCCACCTATTTTATCCCATTCTTGTGATAATAAGGTTCAGTTCTCAAAAGAGTGTTAGAAGTTCTCAATAGATGCCTGTATTTCCCTTTCAGAAGCAGAAGAAAAAGAGTGTAAAATAAGAATAAACATGAAAAGAGTGGGCTGTGTTGGCTCTGAAGAGTAACATGGTGCTCTTCTTCACTCTTTAAACCATATGGACAAAAGAAATATTTGAGAAATATGTTGATTTTTCCTCCACAGCATGTTTCGTCTGTTTCAGTGTGTTTAAAGGTTACATTATGATACCATCCCAAAATAGACACCTGGAAAATAATGACTTTGGGTTATTTTCCTGTGGAATCAGGAAGCACAGATATCAAATTAGAACTGATTTGATGATTTTCTGTGCCACTTCTGTGCCAATGGATTTTGCTGCCAGTCCAACAGCTTAAGCTTTGTGCTGTGACTGCAGGCACAGTTCATTTCCACAGTTTTCATTGGTAGTTTTCCTTCCTTGTGAGTCTTGTGTCCACTTGCAAAACCCACTGACTTTTTGTTCTCTTCCTCTCATTTTCCAGAGTGACTCATCTGTGGTCCTGAAATAGGACCTTTCAATGTTCACACAGCTGCCAGGAGGAAGAAGTAAAAGAGCTGTGTATAATTCTGGGGTGACACTTGTGGCAGCTCTTTATTTTGTCACTGACTTTCTGAGATTTTTCTGCATCATCCAGGAAGGTTCTCTTGGCTTTCTCAGACTTCACTTATATAAACTCCAAAGCATATGTCCTGTCAAATAGTCATGTTTTACTGTCAGAGGAAATACCAGCTTCACTCAGGAGATCATTTCATTCTCCATGGTGATTTTACCCTATCAGTAATTACATGAACAAGTCCAGTTCACTGAAGGTAAAACTGAGGTATGTACACAGGAGCGTTCCATTTGCTGGCATAGTTTCAATCCAAGTGATTGCCTAGAGGCTGATAGGGAGAAATACAATGTGCTTGGCTTCCAAATGCCTCCCTCTCTCTTGTATATATTTAAAAACCTAATTAAAGTTGTCACTTTTGGTGGTGATTCAGAAGTAATGTGAAACTAGTGCATAAAGTTACAAAATACTACTAATAAAAAAATCATACTTTGAAATTACAACCCTTGCAAATATTGATAATCAGCAGTCCTCTTCTCGAGTTCTTAAATCTACCTGCTACAAAAAATAATATTGCAGCTGCTGATCTGTCCACTGGAACCAAGCAGGAGAGTGCTGAGAAAAGGCATGAAAAATGTTTAGTGTAATATATTAAACAATATTTTGTTACATAATAACTTATGTATTGCTTCTCCAGAAAGACATGCTCTTTGCATGACCCAAGGTTTGACTAGAGCATTTATATTCCTTGTTTTTAAATACATTCATCTTTGTAGCATAGAGAGATAGTGTAGTCAAAATAGGACAGCCAACAGCATGGTGTGAACCTTCTCTGATATTTGCATTCCCCATTCTAGGTGAGTTGTGCTGCCAGCGCTAAAGCCCAGTGTGATTTTCAGTC